AGGCGCCCGCCACCATGCCCAGCTACTTTTTTGTATTTTTAGTAGAGACGGGGTTTTGCCATGTTTGCCAGGCTGGTCTCGAACTCCTGACCTCAGGTGATCCACCCACCTCGACCTCCCAAAGTGCTGGGATTATAGGCGTGAGCCACCGTACCCAGCCAACTCAAACCATCTTACTTATTAAAATCTTGAACTATAGCTCTTAAAAATTTTAAGGATTCACTAACAAGAATTTGTATTGAAAACAATTTTCCAAGCAGCAAACGGGGATTTACTAATGCAGCTAAGCTGTAGCGGAACAAGCTCTCAATCTGAAACCAGACACTCTGGGTTTCAGACTAGGTCTGACAGTGGCTGTGTGGCCTGAAATGAATCAGGATGTCTTCACCTATAAAATGGGAACAATACCTATTTATCTCATTCAGTTTCTAGGAAGCTTGAATGAGACCATAAAAACTCTCTGAAATTAAAAACTTGTAGTAAAGATATCATCTATTCCTCGGAAATGGCGGTAAATCACTGTACATGTGTATATTAGCAATTCGAAAAAGGAAAATCCCTGAAAAATTTAGTTTAAGATTTCCTCCACCTTACACAGGAGAGGATTAAAACACTGTCAAAAAGGTACTACCTTGTAGTACGGGGTGTGTGTGGCTTTTAAAAACACTGCCTTTTAAGCCTTTTCCTCTAGTTGTAAGAGGCACACGGAGACACACAAATGCAACATGTGCCATGGGTAATGTTCAAAATCACATTCAACAAACGCTTATGTACCTGGCTATGGGAATTACTGTAGATGACTGGAACTGGAGACTCTTACGTTTACAATACTCATGACTGTACTGGGCCATAAATCTAAAACCTACAGCAGCAGGACAAGTTTCACTTGTAATAACTGCCTTTCAAAATCTACGCGGATCTTTTCAGCAGCACAGTCTTTTAACACCGAATATGAGGAGCGGTGTCTGAGTTGTGACATTTAAAAAATAAGGCCGGAACAAACGTAGAGAGGGAGAAAGGTGTTTAAGAGATCGCCAGCAGCAAAGCTTTGTACGACCCCAGGCACGTGGGGTGCTGGCTGCGCGTAGTCTTTCCGCCGTAGGCAAAGAGAGGCTTATGTGAATCTTTCTGGGGTACTGGGGGGTTCGGTCCCGAAATATTCAGTCCAATCCATGAGTCAGCAGCGGCGAAAGGAAGCAGCAACGGTAGGAGCATAAGGAAGGCACCCCTCACCCTCCTTCCTTCTAATCTAGGGTAGGATTACTTTAAAACACGGAGCAAAAACGCACCTATTACGGCTCCACACGGCCCCAGGGCTAGTCGCCAGGGTCAGAGGTAGAGACAGCCCAGGGTTGCCAAGGCGGAGGACTGAGGCAGGGGCGGCTGAGGTGGGAAGGAGCCGGGGTTGGGTGGGCGCTTACCAGAGGTCAAAGCGTGGGTGATGGCGGTGCCCCGGCCGTCCGCGGGGCTTGGCAAGAGCAGCATGATGGCGCCGGGTCTAGCCCGGTGGGAGCAGCGATTCACGTCCCGGGCGGAGGGCGCTTACGGTCCCCCCAGCTCTACCTCTCAGTCCGAGCCTCGCGCCTTGACTCTACGACGCCCAGGAACCGGCGCATGGAGACGACCAGTAAGCACTTCCGGGATGGATCTTCCGTGGTGCGGAGGCCAGTCTGACACCCTCCTACCCTCGCCAACGTGTGCGGCAACCTAGTTCCACACTGACTGAGATCCGGCTGGAGACCAAGTCGCACGAGAGAATGGTTCCTAGGCGCGTTAATTTTCCTATGAAAACGATTATATTCCACGTCCCTGTGCAATACATAGAACATAACCTTTAAAAGCAGCTCTTTTTATATTATCTTTATTTTTAAGTTCTTACTGCTTTATATGTTAATCTGAACCTAATCAGTGATTTTCCCAGGAACGCTACACTTTTAAGTAAAAAATGAAAATAACTGTATGAACCAGTATCGACGACTAGTATATACATTTGCGGAGAATTACGTACGTGTATTTGTGATACGTTTGTGTTTAACCTGATGATGATAATAGCAGCTAATATTTGTCGTGCTATTACTAATTTACCTGCATTATATATTTTAATACTCACTTGGAGAAGAAACTTCTCTCTGGTGTTAGATTGTATTCCAAGGCCAGCAATATTTTACCCTGTTCTAATGGAATGAAGTTTTCATTCAAGATATCCCCAATCAGAGTTGTTTAATGTGTAATAAAATCAATTGTATTATTACTATAAGCTTCCTTCTAAGACTGTAGTTAAAAGCAAAAACTAGAAAAACAAAAAACAGTGGGTAAAGGCTCACCCCCAACAGCAGTATCTGAAACACGTTCAATAAAATAAACTTCATGTGCCATTCTTCAGCAAGGACCACCAGACATTAGTAAATTATCTTCTAATTTACTAATTTCATTATATTTTCACAATTAAGCAACTTTTAAAATATATATATATATAGAGAGAGAGAGAGAGAAAGAAAGACAGGGTCTCACTATGTTGCCTAAGGTGGTCTTGAACTCCTGGCCTCAAGGGATCGTTCTGCCTCAGTGTCCCAAAACTCTGGGATTAGAGGCGTGAGTCACCGTTCCAGGCCAATTAAATACATTTAATTGACCTGTATATCTGCTGCATTATAAAATCGTCACTTCAAAATTGACATTTCAAAAATTGAACTAAGGGAGGCTGAGGTGGGAAGATCGCTGAAACCGGGAGGTGGAGGTTGCAGTGAGCCGAGATCTCACCATTGCACTCCAGCCTGGGTAACAGTGAGACCCTGTCTTCAAAAAAAAAAAAAAAAAAAAAAAAAAAATTGAACTAATCTTGTGCCCTCAAACCTCTTCCTGATCCCTGTTAATGCAACCACTGTTAAAACATGCTCCAAGGTGCAAAGTAACCTGACTCCACTTTCGTCATATTAATATATGTTTTTCCTCACACCTCCTCCCATTGAGTTTTACCATTAACTCTAAGGTCATAGGGTGTTTTGTTTTGTTTTGTTTTCTGAGACGGAGGCTTGCTCTGTCTCCCAGGCTGGAGTGCAGTGGCGCGATCTCGGCTCCCTGCAATCTCCGCTTCCCAGGTTCAAGCGATTCTCTTGCCTCAGCCTCCCGAGTAGCTGGGACTACAGGTGCGTGCCACCACGCCCAGCTAATTTTTGTATTTTTAGTAGAGACGGGGTTTAGCCATGTTGGCCAGGCTGGTCTCCAACTACTGACCTCGTGATCCGCCCGCTTCGACCTCCCAAAGTGCTGGGATTATAGGAGTGAGCCACCGTGCCCGGCTGGGGGTTTTGTTTTTTAAAAAAATTGTTCTAAAATACACATAACATGAAATTTACGATCTTCACCATTTTTAAGTGTACAGTAATGTTAAGTACATCCACATTATTGTGCAACTACCCTACAGAACTATTTTTATCTTACAAAACTGAAACTCTATACCCATTTAATCTTACAAAACTGAAACTCTGCCGGGCATGGTGGCTCATGCCTGTAATCCCAGCACTTTGGGAGGCCGAGGTGGGCGGATCACCTGAAGTTGGGAGTCCGAGACCAGCCTGACCAACATGGAGAACCCCTGTCTCTCCTAAAAATACAAAATTAGCTGGGCGTGGTGGCGCATGCCTGTAATCCCAGCTACTCGGGAGGCTGAGGCAGGAGAATTGCTTGAATCCGGGAGGCGGAGGTTGCGGTGAGCCAAGATTTAGCCATTGCTCTCCAGCCTGGGCAACAAGAGCAAAATTCCGTCTCGAAAAACAAACAAACAAACCAAACTGAAACTCTATACCAGTGGAGAAAACTCTCCACTGGAAACCATCCTTCTACTTTGTCTTTAGGAATCTGACACCTCTAGGTACTTCATATTTGTGGAATCATATAGTATTTGTCTTTTTTGTGACTGGCTTATTTTCTTAGCATAATGTTCTCAAGGTGCATCTGTGCTGTAACTTATACTAGAATTCCATTCCTTTTTAAGGCTGAATAATATCTGTGTGTGTGTGCGCGCGCGCGCGTGCATCACATTTTGTTTGTCCATTCGTACGTAGATGGACACTTGGGTTGCTTCCACCTTATGGGTGTCGTGACTGATGCTGCTTATGAACATGGATGCACAAATACCTCTTTGAGATCCTGTTTTCAATTGTTTTGGATACATATCCAGAAGTCGAATTGCCAGATGGCATGGTAATTCTATTTTTAATTTCCCGAGGAATCATCGTACTGTTTCCCACAGCAGTTGCACTATTTTATCATTTTACATTTACATCGACAGTGCACCAGGATTTCATTTTATCCAGCAGCACACGCATGCGTCTGCTGGAACCAAGGGTCACCCTTTCCGACACTCGTTTCCTGTTTTGTTTTTGCTTGTTTTTAATAATAGCTATCTTAATGGGTGTGTGGCGGCATCCAACTGTGGTTTTGATTTGCATTTCCTTAACAGTGATGTTGTCCATTTGTATATCTTCTTTGGAGCAATGTTTTTTTTTTTTTTTTTTTTTTTTTGACGCGGAGTCTTGCTCTGTGCCCCAGGCTGGAGTGCAGTGGCGCGATCTCGGCTCACTGCAAGCTCCGCCTCCCGGGTTCACGCCATTCTCCTGCCTCAGCCTCCCGAGTAGCTGGGACTACAGGCGCCCGCCACCTCGCCCGGTTAATTTTCTTGTATTTTTAGTAGAGACGGGGTTTCACCGTGATAGCCAGGATGGTCTCGATCTCCTGACCTCATGATCCGCCCGTCTCGGCCTCCCAAAGTGCTGGGATTACAGGCTTGAGCCACCGCGCCCGGCCTGGAGCAATGTTTATTAAGGTTATTTGCTCATTTAAAAAACTAGGTTGTTTTCTTGGGTGGTAGGATAGGAGTTCTTTAAATATTCTGGATATTAACTCTTTACCAGAAATAGATTACCTTCACTATGTTTGTAGATGTGGCCACTACTTATTGTGTCTAATATGACAGGCGTTTTACAAACACTGTAGTTTCCTTTTCACAGGTAATCAGTCCAAAAACCAGCGTGCCACAGCGTTTCCCCCAGCGCTCTCTCCGGACTCTCTAGCACTGCGTAAAGGGGCCCGCCTGAGCCCAATATACTTCCGGTGGGGAAGGGAAAGGGAAGACACCACCGGAAGCAAGGAAGGTGCTGTGTAATCATTAAGGAGAGGAGGCATTTGGAGCTGCTAAAATGCCGGATTACCTCGGTGCCGATCAGCGGAAGACCAAAGAGGATGAGAAGGACGACAAGCCCATCCGAGGTCAGTTGACATGGGCAGGAGCTCGGAGCTGGGGCGGGACTGGAGCGGAGCTGCCTTGGCACAGGAGAGGAGCTGGATTCCCGCTCCTGGCTCTGTGCCTTGGCCCTTTTGTGCCCCTAGTAATTTAGTCTGCGCCGGCCGGATTAACTTGCCTGCTTTCTCAGTCTCCCTTATCCACTACAAGTTCTGTATTCATCTGCTGATGGACATTTTTATTCATTCTCAGCTCTCGGGTCTTGAAGAAGTCACGCACCCTGGTTGGCCTAACAGGCCTTGAAAAGTTCTGCTTGGCGGTGCTGGGTCACCTGATCCTCTTTCCTCCTCCTTCCCCCTGTGACAGCTGGGAGCTACCACTGTGTAGCTATAATTCTGAGACGTAATTTTCTTAAAAAAAAATTATTTGACCAGATAATACAGCCACAGGGTTCACAATTCAAGAGGCAGAAAAGATACATTTGGAAAGCCTGGCATCCTTGGCCCCAGCCACCAACTTCTCCACAGAGGCAACTAATGTTGCCATTTTGCATATCTTTCTAGACATACTCTATACATATAGAAGCAAGTCCGCTTATATATTCCTTTTTTTTTTTTACAGAAATGTAGCATGCTGTACATACTTCAACATCTCGATTTTAAACAATTTTAATATAAGAGATAATTTCCTATCATGTAGTCACTTTCTCTGCATCTGCATAGTATCCCGTTTTATGGGTATACAATAATGTATTTAACTATTATTGATGAACATTTGGATTTTTCCAATTTGTTGCTGTTTAAAACAATGAATACCTTTTACCTCGTTGCACTCTGAGAGCAAGATGGGTCACCAGCAGCTGTACTGGAGCCACCCGCGAAAATTCGGCCAGGGTTATAGCTCTTGTCGTGTCTGTTCAAACCGGCACGGTCTGATGTGCCTCAATATGTGCCGCCAGTGTTTTCCTCAGTATGCGAAGGATATTGCTTTCATTAAGTTGGACTAAATAATCTTCCTTCAAAGGATTATCCAAGGCATCTACCCAATGAAGAAGCATGATAGTTCTTTGTACTTAAAATAAACATTTAAAAAAATGAATAATCTTGTTTATATAACTTTTACCAAGTGCACAAGTGCAAATTGTAGGATAAATTTTAGAAATGGAGTTCTGATTTTGTAAGTGCCAAATTACTCTCCATGGAGATTGTACCAGTTGATACTTTAACTTACAGTGCATGAGATATGCGCACCATTTTTGGATATAACTTCTTCCCAGTAGTCCCGTTTGTAATCTCATCTTTATGCTGTTTCTCCTTTTGTTCCTTAAGCTAGTTTTAAATGTTCTTTTGGTATTTCTTATGTTTCTTCTTACTTTTCCCTTTCTTCACAACTTCATCTTTTCCTTGCACCCTGTTCCATTTACACCCTCCCCCAAAAGAAAGCATTTCCTTTCTACCTTCATCTCATTCTGCTGTTTCTTTTAAAAATATTTTAGGACACTGAAAATGTCAGAGATACTCAGTATTTATTGGAAAAGTTAGACACAGAGATTTATCATTTGATCTGTGCACAGTGATCTGTGTGTTTCTCTGGGTTTGTTATTCTGTAAAAATATTAACGCATTTATTCCTTGGATACAGTTATGACTAACATGTATATAGGATCTTGTGCGTTTATTCATACATATCGCCCCTGCCTTTTTTTTTTTTTTTTTTTTTGAGATGGAGTCTTGCTCTTGTTCCCCAGACTGGAGTGCAGAGGTGTGATCTCAGCTCTTCCTCCTGGGTTCAAGTGATTCTTCTGCCTCAGCCTCCCAAGTAGCTGGGATTACAGGCGCCCCCACCACGCCCAGCTAATTTTTGCATTTTTAGCAGAGATGGGGTTTCACCATGTTGGCCAGGCTGGTCTTGAACTCCTGACCTTAGGTGATCGCCCGCCTTGGCCTCCCAAAGTGCTGGGATTACAGGCGTGAGCCACCGCGCCTGGCCTGATTAAGTTACTTTCAATTTAAGCTTTCAGATCTCAACTTGGTCCTAATTGCAGTTAAGTTTTTGTGAATCTCCTGTTGACTCACTTTGTTTGAGTGGTTATTTCAAGCCTTTTACAAGTTTTTCAGGTCCTCAGTTCAGTCTCTTTCTTCATGACTGATGACTTTTTTCTCTCCTGAGAAGATTGAGAATCCACTTAAGAGTTCTCTTAACTTCTCTGACATTTTCCATTTTCTGTTTTAATTCTGCCTTAGAGGAAGTGGTATCACTTTGTTATGTGCAACCTTCCCGTCTCTGTTTTTGATCTTATGCCTTCCTCCTCTGGGACTTTGTTTCTTCAGTCACTACCTCTTCTATTTGTTGTCCTATGGAATTTTTCCCTTTTGTTCTTGTAAACATGCTAATATCCATTTTATCTTAAAAACATAGTTGAGAAAATCTTCCTGCTCTCTGAAGTTACAAGTCATTTTCTTTTTTTTCTTTCACTGCCTAAAAGTGGCAGAAAGGACAGGCTTGGGAGTTAGAAAGACCTAGGTTTGAATTTTGGCTTTGAGTTTTGTCTAATAAATTCTGTGAAACTGTTGTTCCTATCTGTAATATAGAAATAATTGTATTTACTTCACAGGTTTATATAGAATTAGATAATAATATATATCTCTAATCACGGTGTCTCATACAATGATCATCTCGATTTATAGCAGCTATTACTATTCGCCCACAGTACATTTCTTTACTACTTATTTATTTATTTTTAGAGACAGTCTTGTACTGTCGCTCAGGCTGGAGTGCAGTGGCACAATCATAGTTCACTGCAGGCTGGGAATTCCCGGGCTAAAACCATTCTTCTGCCTCAGCCTCCCTAGTAGTTGGGACAATAGGTATGCACCACCATGCCATGCTAATTTAAACAATTTTTTCTTTTTTTTTGTAGAGACAGGGTCTTGTTATGTTGCCTAGGCTGGTTTCAAACTCCTGGGCTCAAGTGATCCTCCCACCTTGGCCACCCAAAGTACTGGCATTTCAAGGGTGAGCTACCATGCCAGGCTCTTATTTTATTTTTAAACTTATTGCACTTTAGTTTCTATCTCTATAAATCTGTTGAAACTGATCAATAGTTTCTTAATTCCCAGATCTTTAGTATTTCTCAATCCCAATCCTTGTGTTTTTGACATTGTTGAGCCTTTGAGCCTATCTTGGTTTCTCTTGCTGAACCTTCCCGTTTATCCTCCTGCTTCTTTTCTTTCCTTCATTGTGTCCTCACGTAGTTTCTCTAGAGTTTTGTTTCTGTTAATTTCATCCATTCTGGTCTTGGACTCTATATGCTTCCTTAGTCAATCTTTTTATCCTCAAGCTAGCATCTGACCTCTAAAGCCAGATTTCTCTCCGCCTTTTAGAATGCTGCATCAGGATATGCTGGCATGTTGGATAGTCTCCACGCCTACTCTCAGGCTCAGGAATATGCTAAGAGCATTCCCAAGACTCAGCATGTAGTCATCCTCATGGCTATGATGTATTTTAGTGAAAGAATACAAAGCAAAATCAGCAAAGAGAAAAGACACATGGGGCCAAGTCCAGGAGAAACCAGGCACAAGCTTCCAAGGGTCCTCTTCCAGTGGAGTCACACAGGATGCGCTTAATTCCCCCAGCAACAGGTAGTGACAATTTGTGTAAAATGTTGCAAACCAGGGTAGCTTGTTAGAGATCTGGCACCAAGGGTTTTATTATGGGGTGGTAATGTAGGCATCTCTGCCTAGCACATACCAAAATTCTAGACTCCCTGAAGGAAGATAAATGTTCTGCATAAACCCTATAGTTTGTATAAACATTTTAAGCACAGTGAACCACCTTTTTCAGTTCTGGGAATGGTAGGAACCCTCTGAAATCGTTGTTCTCAGACAAGAGCCAAGAACCAACCTTATAAGCAGGCCTTTCAAAGGATAGCAATTATTCATGCTATGTTAACTCTTTTCTGCTCTGGTAATAGTACCACAAACTTAAGAAAATTAAAACTGAACTTCGTATCTCCCTGCCAACCACTTTCTATTGTGACATCTATTGTGTAGTACCTAGGTCCGAAGCCTGGGCATCAGGTTTGATCCTCTCCCCTCAGCTTCTCACATTTAGTCATTTGCCATGTGCTGTAGATTCTACCTCTGAGGGTTTTTTTTTTTTAATCCAACCGTTCCTTTCTCTTTTCATTGCTACCATTTTTATTTAGGTTCTTATGACTTCTGAGTGGCCTCACTCCAATCTGTTGTTCATATCTTGGCGAACTATTTCTTTCTAAGACACATTTCCTATAATGTCGACTGTAGTGGCCCTGATTACCTCATTCTGGAATTTATGGTCTAACTCACTAGAGCCCCAAACCTCCATCTACTTAATTTCCTATTACTGCCTAATGTGTATACTGTGTTTCAGCTTACCTGGTCTAGCTGCTATTACCTAAGCATGCTTTTTCCTACCTCTACTCATACCTAGTTTAAAAAAAAAAAAAGGCCTGCCGTTTTTTTCCTTAAAATATGTATGATCGTATGATTGGTTCTTGTTTTTCATGATAGATATGTTCTATACAGTTGCTGTGAACCGTGAATTAGGAAGTACTGAACACTTGCTCCTAGGAGAAATATATATATACATCTCACGTAGATTATAATCCTTTTTTTTTTTTTTTTTTTTTTGAGACAGGGTCTCACTTTGTTACCTAGGCAGAAGTGCAGTGGCACGATCTCAGCTTGCTGTAGCTGTCACTTCCTGGGCTCAAGCAATCCTCCTGCCTCAGCCCCCGCAGTAGCTGGGACTACATGTACACACCACCATGCCCAGCTAATTTTTGTATTTTTTGTAGGGACACGGTTTTGCCATGTGGCCCAGGCTGGTCTTGAACGCCTGGACTCAAGCAATCTGCCTGCCTCAGCCTGGGATTACAAGTGTGAGCCACAGCATCCGGCCGATTATAATCTTAAATCCTAAAAACAACTCATCCTGGTAGATTCTTTTTTTCTTTATTTCGCAAAAGAGAAAACAAAGTTCAGAAGTGTTAAGTGACTTGGCTGAGGTCACCCCACTAACAGATGCCAGAGCTGGCATTCAAACCCTGTCCACCTGGCCCCAGAGCCTGAACTGCTTGGATTACATTACGTTTCCCCTACCGTCTCCATCTTCTAGTCATCTTTGTAAAGCTGAAACAAGAAGTTAGAGTGACTTGTTCTTAGCTGTGAACTTAAATTTTTTACCACTCTGCCTATTTGCAAATGACCATGAAAGCACATGAGTATTGATTTGGGGATTACAAATAAATTTCAGCAACTAAGCAAATTCAGGAATGCAGAATTCGTGAATAGAAAAGATTAACTGTAAATCACTTGAAATCCCGGATAACCACCGTAGAACACCATTTCAGGTTACTCTCCACATGTGTTTTAAGTGATTTTTATATAAAAACAAAATATATGCACATTATATGGTTTTTTTAAAACCTACCTGATTCACTGAATAGCATTTGTTGGATTGCTTTCTATACCTGTGTTCTGTTACCATTTTAAATTGCTGCATTGGATCTCCTTTTTCTTTTTGAGACAGAGTGTCTCTTGGTCACCCAGGCTGGATTGCAGTGATGTGATTTGGGCTCACTGCAACGTCCGCCTCCTGGGTTCAAGCAATTCTCCGGCTTCAGCCTCCCGAGTAGCTGGGACTACAGGCATGTGCCACCATGCTAGGCCAATTTTTGTATTTTTGGTAAAGATGGGGTTTCGCCAGGTTGTCCAGGCTGGTGTCAAACTCCTGACCTCAGGTGATATGCCCGCCTCGGCCTCCCAAAGTACTGGGATTACAGGCATGAGCCACCACACCTAGCCTGCGTTGTATTTCATTGTATGAATATGGTATAATTTAACCAAGATCCTTAATGGATGTGTTTTACATAATACTATATAAAATAGGTAATCATGTATATTATGTACTTTTAAAAATCTGTCTTCCTCCCAGTTAGATAAAAATTACTTGAGTCCAGGAACTATTTGATTGGATTTATATCATCATAATCTTGCTTGAGTTTTGGCCCTCAATTAAAACAATTTGAATCGAACAGAAAAGTTGATCAGCTCTAGTTTCTTTTTTTTCTTTTTGTTTCTTTTTTTGAAAATGTTAATTGTAGTTTCTTTTTGAATCTCATGTATTGTCTCTCTTCTTTCAGCTCTGGATGAGGGGGATATTGCCTTGCTAAAAACTTATGTAAGTCCTTTCAGTGTCTACAAACTATAGATGTTTTATGTTGAAATAAAAGCTGTTTTGGTATTGTCCTTCCAAAATAATTAGAAGTTAAGAAACCAAAATTAAAAAACCAAACAAAAAATAAAAAGAAATGAAATACTTAGAATGTTTGGCAGCTCTTTGTAATTTTCACTAAATGAAGTTACCTACCTGAAGTTTATAGATCAGAGTTTTTGGCATGTCTCAGTTTATGTATTATTTTAATCCTATTCATGATTAAAATGTGATACTATATTGAAAGATATTTAAAATAATTTACATGTGTTTACTATGTTTAACAAGTATTACTGAATTAGTTGGAAATGAAGTTTTAATGCATAAAAGTCAGTAGTTTTGCATAATTTCACACAATTTTTTTTTTTTTTTGAGACAGAGTTTCACTCTTGTCACCCAGGCTGGAGTGCAGTGGCGCGATCTTGGCTCACTGCAACCTCCACCCCCCGGGTTCAAGGGATTCTTCTGCCTCAGCCTCCTGAGTAACTGGGATTACGAGCGCCTGCCACTGTGCCTGGCTAATTTTTAGTATTTTTAGTAGAGAGGGGTTTCATCATGTTGGCCAGGCTGGTCTTGAATTCTTGACCTCAGGTTATCCACCTGCCTCAGCCTCCCAAAGTACAGGGATTATAGGCGTGAGCCACCGTGCCTGGCCATGATTTTCATTTGTTATCTTGCATAATAGTGGATTGTGTATTTAGGGGGAAATATTGGCTCAGGAACACCTCTCTACTTCACAAGTTTTGGGATAATGATAGCTATTGAAATTGTAACTTAAAAATAATTTTTGCCTGTAGTTTAATAAATTGTTGATATCCTGATATTCTAACTAAACTGACCTTCATCACCTAGGGTCAGAGCACTTACTCTAGGCAGATCAAGCAAGTTGAAGATGACATTCAGCAACTTCTCAAGAAAATTAATGAGCTCACTGGTATGTATTTTTAAATTCCCATTTCCTTCCTTTAAATGTAATGTGTTAATAATATCAAAAGAGTTTAACTACAGATTTTACTCCTTTATGATTACAGATTTTAAAAAATCGTTATTCTTCCTTTCTGTTAAGAAATTTGATCTCATTTAACCATATCTTTCACTGCTTTTTACAACCAGGTTTAATGCTTATGCAGTTAAGAAATAAGAAACAATACCATCTTCTAAGCCAGTAATGTTTCTGTTGGTCAAAACCCAGTTCAGTAAACTTCAGTTAACAAGTCGAAAAACTTTTTTGGATAAAAATAAGATCCACAGCATAGTTTTGCTCGAAGTAATTGGGCTCTTTCCTGGAAGTTGGAAACATTTTTTGGGGGAACTTGAATGATGAAGTTTTACATTTGACCTACACAAAAATATCAAATGTGGCATTATATTTTTGGCTTGACAATTACTTTAGGGCAGGGTAGTAGTTTTCAGCTGGGGTGATTTTGCCACACCCCCCACCCGCTCCCGGAGGACACTGGGCAATGTCTGGAGACATTCTTGATTGTCATGACTTTGAGAGAGGGTGGTGCTGCTGGCATCCAGTGGTGAGAGGCCAGGGATGCTACTAAACAGCCTATAATGCACACAACGAAATTCAGTGCAAAATGTCAGGAGGGCCGAGGTTCAGAAAGCTTATTTTAGGGCGATGCATTACATTTTAGTAAATTTTGTCATCTTTCTTTATGTAGGTATTAAAGAATCTGACACTGGCCTGGCCCCACCAGCACTCTGGGATTTGGCTGCAGATAAGCAGACACTCCAGAGTGAACAGCCTTTACAGGTTGCCAGGTATGCACAGGTGCTCTGTGGCAACTTCCCTTTGTCTGTATTTTCAAGCACTTAATGTTAGAGTCTCGGGGATAATATAATAGTTCATAAAGTATTTTTATTCCAAATTCCAAGTAAATAAAGCTTTCTACAAAACTGGGGTTAAAATTTTATGCCTTAAACAATTATTCAAAAATACATGAAGGTGTATTCATTTAAAAGATTTAAATGATACAAAAAGATGTAGAGCAAGATGTGAAAAACTCCCTTCTCCTACTTGCTTTCCTGTTGCCCTTTCCTCAAACATAAGTACTGAAATAGTTTGGCCCTCCTAATCCTCTTTCTGTGTATCTTCCTGTGTGTATTTGCATGCAAGAAACATATCCTGATTTTTTTTTGTTTTTTAGACATAACTACATGTTTTGGGAATCTGTGTCTTTAATATAGGTACACTTATTTCTTTTTTCTCATGTTTTTAAAAAATTGCATAATGTGTAGATGTTAGGCTATAACAATTTCTGTTATTATACACAGCACTGTAGTGAACATTCATGTTAAATGTTTCTCAGTGTATGTGCATACATTTCTGTAGGCTAGCTTACTACAAGTGGAATTCTAGGGGTCGAAGATATTACAGTTTTAAAATCCTGTGACAATTGCTTTGACCAGTTTATACTTTTACCGAGAGGATTTGAGGCAAATATCCATTTGTCTGATGAATGTAAGATATGCAGTTTTCAATTTTTACACTTTTGTCATTTGAGGGAAAATAATTTTAATTTGTACTGTGCTGATTACTAGTGTGATAGCTACTTCTTGTGTTTACTAAACCTCTGTATTTCTTTGACTACTCATGTTCTTGAGTTGTTTCTTGTTAATTTTAGAAACAGTTCATATATTGTACATATTATCTTTTCTTAAGTAATGCTACAAGTATTTTTCCCTAGTCACTTTTAACTTCTTGGTACCTTTTGTTGTACTAATGTTTTACATTTTTAGGAGATAAAATATACCAGTATTTCCATTATACCTTTTGGGTGTTAATGTTGCTCAGAAAAGCCTAGCCCAATTCAAGGCTATAAACATATTCTCTGTTTATGATCCTTTTAAAAATTTTGTTTTTATTTTTAGTTCCTAAAAGCTAAAGATTATTTTTCTTTCCCATCTACTCACCCTTCCTACCTCCCAATTTCCATCTTTTCTCCCTCTATTTATTTATTTATTTATCCATTTTTTAGTTTTATTATGGTTTTTGAAGGGTTAAATAGTTCAGGCTGGGCACTGCAGCTCATGCCTGTAATCCCAGCACTTTGGGAGGCCCACGCGGGCAGATGACTTGAGGTCAGGAGTTTGAGACCAGCCTGGCCAACATGGTGAGACCCTGTCTCTCCTAAAAATACAAAAATTAACTGGGTGTGGTGGGCGCTTGTAATCCCAGCTACTGGAGAGACTGAGGCAGGAGAATTGGTTGAACCTGGGAGGCGGAGGTTGCAGTGAGCCGAGATTGTGCCACTGCACTTCAGCCTGGGCGACAGAGTGAGACTCCATCTCAAAAAAAAAAAAAAAAAAAGAGTTAAATAGTTAAATAATAACAACTGTATTTCCCAATTTCTCTTCCCTACAGACACTCATTTTCACCTTTTTTAGCTGATTATTTTGGTTTTCGCCTTCATGGTTCTAATGGATATTGCTATATCTTGTGTATTGTAGATTCCTGCTTCTTGATTTTTTAGTTTTAGGTATTATCTTTTGGCTTCCCACCATGGAAGATGAGGATTTTGTTTTGTTTCCTCTGCCTTCATGTTGAAGGCACACCCTTCCTATCCCAACATCCTTCCGGTGTAATTCTGTTATAATTTTGGTTAGATCAGTATTCAGTGTTTATATGATTATGGCTATGTAAATACTATTCACAAAGAGCCAAGTGGTAAGCTGTGATTGCTTTTCCTTTCTTGTGCCACTTATTTTGGTGGTGGTTGTTTTAATGTCTTGTTTCTTCATTTGCCTGGTTTTCTGTGCATATGTTATAAACTCAACCTCCCACTTTCTCTTGATTGTCTAAGCTGCTCTTCAGATGCATTAGATCTGTTAGTTTTCTCTCAATTATACCTCAGTTGCATCTGGTGTTCTCTCGGTTTCATTTTCCTTAAGTTTTTCCCAGCACTTCCTGAACTGCTTTGGTTTGGACCAGTTGTCCTTTATGCCTGTTTAATGACAATCGTTGTCTGACTTCTCTACTGTGGAGATTTCCCTTTGCCTCCCTCCTGTTGCTTGTGTACTGTTAGTCTTTCTTCCTTGGTTTCCTTACACCTTTATTTAGGTCTAATACATCCTCTGGTAGCTTCCTGGAAAAGGGTCAGTTGGGAGGTAATATTTTGAGACTGCATATGTATGAAAGTATCTTAGCTGAGTATAAAGTTCTTTTCTCTTCAAAATTTTGAAGGTGTCGTTCTGTTGTCCTTTGCCTCCCAGTGTTACTCTGAAGCCATTCTGATCCTCAGTCCTGTATATGTGGCCTATTTTTTCTCTGAAAATTTTAGAGTCTTCTCTTGTTCTCTTTTTGAAATTTCATGGTGATGTGCCTTGGTGTTGGTCTGTTTTCATCCGTTGTGCTGGGCTCTCTTATCCTTTAGTAAGGCAAATCTTCTTGAAACTATTTGTTAATTTCTTTCCATTTCCTTGGACCTTTACTCCTGAATTCTCTTATTTGGATATGGGGCCTCCAGGATTGCTCCTCTAATATGCTACTCTTTCTTTCCTGGTTTCCTTTGTTTTGCCTTTTTACTTTACTTTCTATGAGCTTTTCTTTATCTTTGAATTCTTCTGTTGAGGTTTTTTTCCTCCCAGTTTTCTTCTCGTAGGTTTTTAATTTCTCAGGTAAAAAACTCAGGTTTTTAATTTCTCAGGTAAAAAAACTCAGGTTTTTTGGCCGGGCGCGGTGGCTCAAGCCTGTAATCCCAGCACTTTGGGAGGCCGAGACGGGTGGATCACGAGGTCAGGAGATCGAGACCATCCTGGCTAACACGGTGAAACCCCATCTCTACTAAAAAATACAAAAAACTAGCCGGGCGAGGTGGCGGGCGCCTGTAGTCCCAGCTACTCGGGAGGCTGAGGCAGGAGAATGGCGTGAACCCGTGAGGCGGAGCTTGCAGTGAGCTGAGATCCGGCCACTGCACTCCAGCCTGGGCGACAGAGCGAGACTCCGTCTCAAAAAAAAAAAAAAAACCAAAATAAAAACAAAAAAAAAAACCTCAGGTTTTTGATTTCAAGGATCTCATCTTTATTCTTTCATTGGTGTGTGTGTGTTGAATGTTCTGCTCTTATATCATGGTTGTAATATGTTCTTATCTCTCTATGGGAAAATAAAAAATTTAGGTACGTTTCTCTAGTCCGTATGAGGGGAATTTTTTTTTTTCGTAAAGCAGTTAGAGGGAAACTTTTCATATAGATTTTTCATAACAGACAGACTAGCTAAAGAGCCCCACACTCCTGCAAGATCCCAGGCCTTAAAGAATGCAAAGATTGGCCGGGCGCGGTGGCTCAAGCCTGTAATCCCAGCACTTTGGGAGGCCGAGACGGGCGGATCACGAGGTCAGGAGATCGAGACCATCCTGGCTAACACGGTGAAACCTCGTCTCTACTAAAAAATACAAAAAACTAGCCGGATGAGGTGGCGGGCGCCTGTAGTCCCAGCTGCTTGGGAGGCTGAGGCAGGAGAATGGCGTAAACCCGGGAGGCGGAGCTTGCAGTGAGCTGAGACCCGGCCACTGCACTCCAGCCTGGGCGGCAGAGCCAGACTCCGTCTCAAAAAAAAAAAAGAAAGCAAAGATTATTTGAAAAAGTTTCCATTGATTTTAGTCTCATACTCTTTGCTTAAAAATCTTGATAAAATTTGTGTATGTGTAATTTTTAGCTTGTGAATTTTTTTTTTTTTTTTAAAGACGAGGTCTCACTTTGTTACCAAGGCTGGAGTGCAGTAACATGATCTCAGCTCGCTGCACCCTCTGCTTCCTGGGCTCCCACCTCAGCCTCCCAAGTGGCTGGGACCACAGGTGCACACCACCCCATGCCCGGCTGTTTTTTATTTTTATTTTTATTTTTATTTTTAGTAGAGACAGGGTCTTGCCATGTTGCCTCGGCTGGTCTTGAACTCCTAGGCTCAAGCCATCTGCCCACCTCAACCTCCCAAAGTGCTGGGATTACAGGTGTGAACCACCTTGCCTGGCCAGCTTATGAATTTTTAAATAACAATCTTATTGATATAAAATTCACATACCATGAGGTTCACTCTTTTAAAGTGTACAATTTAGTGATTTTTAGAATATCTAGAAAATTGTGCATTTATCATCACTAATTCCAGAATAGAATATTTTTGTTACCCCAAAAACAAACCTGATACCCATTAGAAGTCTTCATTCCCCTCTCTTCCCAGCCCCTGGCAACCATTAATCTACTTTCTGTGTCTATGAATTTGACTATCCTGGACATATCATCTAAATGGAATCATATAGTATATGGCTTCCTTCACTTAGCATATTTCAAGGTTCATCCATATTCAAAAATGGCTGAAAGTTTTTTTTATGGCCAAATAATATTCCAGTCTAATTTCTCTATCTGTATTCACTATTTGGTGAGACATTCTTCTCATCATTCTTATTAACTCTTTAAGTATGGTTTCCTTTAGCTTTTTGAAAATATTTCTTGTACTGATTTAAGGTTTTTGTTTGGGCACAGTGGCTCATGCCTGTAAACCCAGCACTTTGGGAGACTGAGGCAGGTGGATCACTTGAGGTCAGTAGTTCGAGACCAGCCTGGCCAACATGGTGAACCCTGTCTCTACTAAAAGTATAAAAATATTAGCTGGGCATGGTGGCAGGCGCCTGTAATCCCAGACACTTAGGAGGCTGACGCAGGATAATTGCTTGAACCTGGGAGGCGGAAGTTGCAGTGAGACAAGATCGCACCACTGCCCTGCAGCCTGGGCAACAGTGAGACTCCGTCTAAAAAAAAAAAAAAAGTTTTGTTTAATAACACCAACATCGAGGCTTCCTAAGGGACGATTTCTATTGACTGCTTTTTTCCCCCTTAATGTATGAGCCATAATGTCATACATAAGGGAAAATGCATCTCATAATGTTTTGCATCTCATAACTTTTGGTGATAACTAGACATTTAAAATAATGTAATGTGTCACCTCTGGAAATCAGATTCTTCCTCTCCCCGGGGTTTGGTATTATTGCTGTTTGTTGTTCTTGTTATTCCTTTCAGGATTTTTGGTCAGCCTCTTTTTTTTTTTGGTAGAGAATAGGCATAATTCTTCCTCCATAGCAAACGTGGTTGGTAACAGAAAACAGAGTCCTTCAAACAATTATGCTGTCAGGACAAAGCGTTCTTTTTTAGCCTTGACCTGCTGGGCTCAAGTGATGCTCCAGCCTCAGCCTCCCCAGTAGCTGGGACTACAGGTGCATCCCACCACACCTGGCTAAGCCAAAGCATTCTTTACCTTACTTTTAACTCTACCTACGTGTGCACTCCACAGGCTATTTTTATATTTCTCTGTAATTCTTGCATATGTAGCAGCTTTCTAATGTGATTTGTTTTTTGTTTTTGTTTTTCTTTAGTAGATAGATACTATAGAAGGGGAAAGGCAGTTGACTTTTATACTGTGATGTACGTGGCATTATCAATTCATTTTTACCAGGCCATATGGAAATGAATATAATTAAGTTAAAAATAGCTTCTACTGGCTGGGTGCAGTGGCTCATGCCTGTAATCCCAGCACTTTGGGAGGCCGAGGCAGGTGGATCACTTGAGGTCAGGAATTTGAAACCAGCCTGGCCAACATGGTGAATCCCCATATCTACTAAAAATACAAAACAATTAGCCGGGCGTGCTGGTGCGTTCCTGTAATCCCAGCTACTTGGGAGGCTGAGGCAGGAGAACTGCTTGAACCTGGGAGGCTGAGGGTGCAGTGAGCTGAGATCATGCCACTGCACTCCAGCCTAGGCTACAGAGCAAGACTCTGTCTCAAAAAAAAAAAAAAAAAAGCTTCTACTGCCTCAGTTAAAAAAAGAAAAAAAAGTAGCAAAAACAATAAAAATGGATTTAAAGCCCGGATACAGTGGCTCACGCCTGTAATCCCAGCACTTTGGGAGGCTGAAGTGGGCAGATCACCTGAGGTTGGGAGTTTGAGACCAGCCTGACCTTGGGAGTTCGAGAGGAACCCCATCTCTACTAAAAAAAAAAAAAAAAAAAAATTAGCCAGGCATGGTGGTGCATGCCTGTAATCCCAGCTACTCGGGAGGCTGAGGCAGGAGAATTGCTTGAACCAAGGAGGCGGAGGTTGCAGTGAGCCAAGATCACGCCATCGCGCTCCAGCCTGGGCAACAAGAGTGAAATTCTGTCTCGAAAAAGCACTTTGGGAGGCCGAGGCGGGCGGATCACGAGGTCAGGAGATCAAGACCATCCTGGCTAACATGGTGAAACCCTGTCTGTACTAAAAATTAAAAAAAAAATTAGCCAGGCATGGTGGCAGTTGCCTGTAATCCCAGCTACTCAGGAGGCTGAGGCAGGAGAATTGCTTGAACCCAGGAGGCGGAGGTTGCAGTGAGCCAAGATCACGCCATTGTACTCCAGCCTGGGCAACAAGAGTGAAACTCCATCTCAAAAGAAAAAAAAAGAGAGAGAGGGAAAGAAAATAAAAAGAAAACGGATTTAAAGTATAAACTCAGGAAAAGAATGAAAACCCATTTATTACTGAATTTGGTGTAAGACAAGACCATCTTTTTATAGGGAAAATGAAAACGAGAGCAACTTAAGATATACAGGAGCATCACTAATAATAAAGGAATATAAATTATGGAAATCAAGAAATCAGATAACTTCTTAATGATGAGATATTTGGGTTTAATTTTCCAGGAGAATGTATTTGAAAATTTTATGGCTTGGCTAAAGTCGAATGGACCTTCAGAGTTGAGTACAGAAAAGGATCTTTAACAATGTCCCAGTTTCTGTAGTTCCAGTTTATACCTATATTTTGCACACTCAGGATAGAATCTAGTTGGTTGAATTAATTATTAGTGGCTTAGGTTCCTTATTCTAATCAAGCTTTTTGCTGTGTTAGATGTACAAAGATAATCAATGCTGATTCGGAGGACCCAAAATACATTATCAACGTAAAGCAGTTTGCCAAGTTTGTGGTGGACCTTAGTGATCAAGTGGCACCTACTGACATTGAAGAAGGGATGAGAGTGGGGTAAGATTTCTATTTACAATAAATACTTTTCTTTCACTAAGGATGCTGTCTCACGTTCACATCCTTGGCTTTGTGGTGAATAAATGAACTGAGTTCCTTGGAATACCAAGGGATGATCTAGTAATGCACTATAGTTGAAAATTCTTTCTTCTGCATCTGCTTTCTAACATCCCATCAGCTTCCCTGACTCCCCTACTCCTACTGTTGTTTATTATGAATGGCTTCAAATTTCAGAGTTGAGGTTACCAGTCTATTTACGGTAACATGGTATAGGTTGGGGGACTACTTGCTTTAGGATAGTTATGATGCCAAGTGTGTTAATGTCTATAGAATCCATAACAATTCACTCAGTAAATTAAAAAAAAATCTCCCCTCCCTCCTCAAGGGTTTGGTTGCTGTTAGGACAAAGCGTTCTTTTTTAGCCTTGACCTCCTGGGCTCAAGTGATGCTCCAGCCTCACCCTACCCAGTAGCTGGGACTACAGGTGCATCCCACCACACCTGGCTAAGCCAAAGCATTCTTTACCTTACTTTTAACTCTACCTATGTGCGCACTCCACAGGCTATTTTTGTATTTCTCTGTAATTCTTGTTTGCCATGTTAGACATATAATTTAGTATCCTCAAGTTTCATGCTCTCTTTATTTCTCTTTATATAACCTTAGGGATTCTGTCTCTCTCTTGTTTTCTTAAAGTATGGTTTTGGGGATAAAAGACTAAACATAAAATCACTTTGAAAGCTTAAAGAATGTATTAGTGACTGTCTTTTTTACTTCCTTAGTGTGGACAGAAATAAATATCAAATTCACATTCCATTGCCTCCTAAGATTGACCCAACAGTTACCATGATGCAGGTAAGAAACTATGGGAGGGAAAAGGAAGGCTATGTGTTTTTGTTGTTGTTGTTGTTTTTTGAGATGGCGTTTCACTCTTGTCATCTAGGCTGGAGTACAGTCATGTGATCTTGGCCCACTGCAGCCTCTGTCTCCTGGGTTGAAGCGATTCTCCTGCCTCAGCCTCCCGAGTAGCTGGGATTACAGGCGCCCACCACCATGCCTGGCTAATTTTTGTCTTTTTAGTAGAGACGGTGTTTCACCACGTTGGCCAGACTGGTTTCGAACTCATGACCTCAAGTTTTCGGCCTGCCTCAGCCTCCCAAAGTGTTGGGATTCTAGGCGTGAGCCACTGAGCCACTGAGCCTGGCAGTATTTTTTGTTTTTTTTGAGACAGACTCTCACCTGTCTTTATTTTACTAGTTTGTCTTTCATTCATTAGTGTCATAATAAGTAATACAGCAAGTAGTACCAGGGCACTGGGCAATGTATTCAATTTTTATTAAGATTCTCACTTGTGAGTTTGATTTTTCTTTTAAGGTATTAGGTCTATTCTACTGAATTTGGACAGTATCCAAAAGGCCTGTGACTGTATGTTGTACATTTCTGTCCCTCTCTTAGGTGGAAGAGAAACCTGATGTCACATACAGTGATGTTGGTGGCTGTAAGGAACAGATTGAGAAATTGCGAGAAGTAGTTGAAACCCCATTACTTCATGTAAGTAGCTGAGTGTTGTATTTAAATTTCTTTGTATAAATTTTTGTGTATTGAGCACTAAAATTGCTTGTATATTAGATGGCTTTTACTATTTTCCCTAATGAGAATTTTTTTGAGGGTGGAGAGAGGAGGTGTGGAGAGTTGGTAAGTTCTAGGGGAGAGCAAGCAAAAAGGATTGAATGGTCAAGTATATTTAAAAAAGAAAGATCTGCTGTTTACAGTGACAGAGGAGGCTCAGTGTAACCTTTAGCAATATGTTAAATATGTTACAGGCTATTATAGAAGAAACTGGTTCTTCAAAAGACATCGAGAAGAAAGGGGCTTAAGTTGAAGCAGGTTAAACTTGGGAGGATAATGGAAAACTAGGATATTGAATACCAGATAATTGTGTTCCTTAAACACCATAATTTTTTAAAATTAGGAAAATATTTTAAGACTGGATAATAGAAGCGCTTTTTAAAAGCCATTCAGTCTTATGTATTGATATGAGTCCAGTTTAGAACTTATGTCTTAGAATAAGTAAAATTTCTTACTTAGTCCAAGTATGTAGATTGTGGACTTAATAATTTTGATTTAAATATTAAAGTATGGTTTTCAGGATAAAAGACTAAACATAAAAGCACTTTGTTGATGTAGAAGTAGTCTGATTTTTGTTATACAGAAGTGGTAAGTGTGAAAATTGTGTCTCTATCACAGCCAGAGAGGTTTGTAAACCTTGGCATTGAGCCTCCCAAGGGCGTGCTGCTCTTTGGTCCACCCGGTACAGGCAAGACACTCTGTGCGCGGGCGGTTGCTAATCGGACTGATGCGTGCTTCATTCGAGTTATTGGATCTGAGCTTGTACAGAAATACGTCGGTGAGGTAAAGTCAATTTATCATAGTCAAAGAATATATAGCCCTGTGAAAGATTTTACAGTATGAATGAAATTAAAAATGGCACTTCTGCATCGAGGGATCCAGACCTGAAATTTCTGTTTTCTTTTTTTGAGACAGTCTCATTGTGTTGCTCAGGCTGGAGTGCAGTGTTGTGATCTCAGCTCACTGCAGCCTCTACCTCTCTGGGCTTAGGCGATCCTCCCATCTCAGCCTCTCAGGTAGTTGAGACCATGGCTACATGCCACCATGCCCAGCTAATTTTTCTATTTTTTGTAGAATGGGGTTTTGCCATGCGGCCCAGGGCTCAAGCGATCCATCTGCGTTGGCCTCCCAGAGTGCTGGGAGTATAGGCATGAGCCACCACACCCGGCCTGAGACCTGAAACTTCTTGATTGTAATTAGTAGTTTAGAAGCTGCCTTTGTGGTCATTTGGAAATAGACAACCACTTAAAATTTTAACCAGTATGCCCCCTCCTCAGAAGGATGACATTTTCTACAGATGTGGCTTTTCTATGGAAATGCCTGGTAAGTGAATTCAAAAGTATACTTTTACTTCAGGGGCAGTGTTTTCAGTCCTAATGAGAAAGTGAGAGCATAGGTTGTCTGTATGTTTGTAGACATCCATATACATATATATATTTAGAGAATAAGTCTAGGGCTATACGTATTGTATCTGAAACCTGTTGATGATTCGTATATTTACAGTAAGAATTGGATACGGAGCTGCATGAGTTGAAGTATCCTTTTATTCCCTAATTAAAACTTACAAGTCAAATTCAATGATCAGGAATTCCAAGTGATAGATCAGATGCTTTTATTTACTCAAGTTTTACTGATTAGAATGGTTCCTTTATTTAACTATTAATTTGACCTCATCAGATCCGAAACCTATTGCTATTTAATAGATACAGAATCATGCAAATGACTTAATATTTTAAGGCTAGCAAGATTAATTTGGTGGACTGGGGAGCAAACTTCAGTCTTTTTAAAAAAAGTTTAGGTAGACTGGGTGCGGTGGCTTACACCTGTAATCCCAGCACTTTGGGAGGCAGAGGCGGGCAGATCACCTAAGGTCAGGATTTCAAAACCAGCCTGACCAACATGGAGAAACCCCATCTCCACTAAAAATAGAAAAAGCTGAGTGTGGTGGCACATGCATGTAATCCCAGCTCCTCGGGAGGCTGAGGCACGAGAATCGCTTGAACCCAGAAGGCGAAGGTTGCAGTGAGCCAAGATTGTGCCATTGCACACCAGCCTGGGCAACAAGAGCGAAACTCTGTCTCAAAAAATAAACAATAAAATAAAATAAAAACAGCTGGGCGTGGTGGCTCACACCTGTAATCCCAACACTTTGGGAGGCTGAGACGGGTAGACCATGAGGTCAGGAGTTCAAGACCAGCCTGGCCAAGATGCTGAAACCCCATCTCTACTAAAAATACAAAAATTATCTGGGCTTGGTAGCACATGCCTGTAATCCCAGCTACCCGGGAGGCTGAGGTAGGAGAATCACTTGAACCCAGGCAGAGGATGCAGTGAGCTGAGATCGCACCACTGCACTCCAGCCTGGGCGACAGAGGAAGACTCCATCTCAAAAAAAACAAAAAAATAAAAAAAGTTTAGGTAATAATGAGTGAGAATACTGTTAAAAATAAATATTGAAAAGTTTGAAGCGTAACTTTATATTTACTTTAAAATATTTTAAAATCAATTTTGAATTAATAAATCATTTTTCTTGTTAGGGGGCTCGAATGGTTCGTGAACTCTTTGAAATGGCCAGAACAAAAAAAGCCTGCCTTATCTTCTTTGATGAAATTGATGCTATTGGAGGTGAGAATGATATGTTAAGAGAACTGCTTTAGGATTCGGTTTCATGAAAACTCTAAAGTGATATGTTAATTCTTATACAGAATTTTAACAATAACTCTTCTATGAGCTCTGAAACACTGGCGCCACAGATCTAATAAGTAGTACTGCTAAACTGTAAAGGGAAGAAGAAACATTATATACCATTGCCATTTTTCGGAGCCTTTATTTTTGTGCAATGGGTTGAATATCCTTTAGCTGAAATGTTTGAGAATTCAGGTATTTTGGCTTTTGGCTTTTGGAGTACTTGCATTATACTGATTGAGTATCCCAAATATGAAAACCTGAAATCTAAAATGCTCCAATGAGTATTGCCTTTGAACATCATGTTGGGGCTCAAGAGTTTCAAATTTTGAAGCATTTTGGATTTTGCATATTTGCAAATATGGGATGCTCAACCTATATGTGATTTCATTCATACAACACCTATTTCCACACTTTAAACAACTCCTAAATTGAGAAGTATCATCTAATGTCATAAGAAAGCACTGGGGCATAATTTAATTGGTGGTGGTTTTTCTTAGTGCACAGGAAATACAGTATTAGCCATGAAATCTAGACAGGTTTTTTTGTTTTTGTTTTTTAAAAGACACAGTCTCACTCTGTCAGTCAGGCTGGAGTTCGGTGGCGCAACCTTGGTTCACGGCAACCTCTGCCTCCTGGTTCAAGCCATTCTCATGTCTCAGCCTCCTGAGTAGCTGGGATTACAGATACCTGCCACCATGCCTGGCTAATTTTTGTATTTTTAGTAGAGACGTAGTTTCACCATGTTGGCCAGGCTGGTCTCGAACTCCTGAGGACAAGTTATTTTGACTAATCTCTTAGCCTCAGTTTTCTTATCTTATAAAGGGAATAATTCTTGCCTTGTGTACTTCAGGAGGTTTTGAGAGGTTCAAATTAAGTAATAAATGTGGTAGACTTTGAAAACATAAAACTGCCCCATAGGCAGTTTAAAAAATGTTAAGTAAATCTGTGATGAATACTTTTGAAAGCAAAGGTTCACTTTCTAATTAGTTTTGTATAACGCAGGCTGTTCTTACAGGATTTGCTTCAAAGTGGGATATGCACTTATTCCGGAGGGCATAATTTGAGCTGAGATTTATGGTACTTTCAGGTCATGCATAGTGCTACTCTGAGTGGACTTGAAGAGCTTATCTTTTGTCTTCTCAGGGGCTCGGTTTGATGATGGTGCTGGAGGTGACAATGAAGTGCAGAGAACAATGTTGGAACTGATCAATCAGCTTGATGGTTTTGATCCTCGAGGCAATATTAAAGTGCTGATGGCCACTAACAGACCTGATACTTTGGATCCAGCACTGATGAGGCCAGGGAGATTGGATAGAAAAATTGAATTTAGCCTGCCCGATCTAGAGGTAAGAAAATCATTTCATTTTAGGAAAGGGATTTTTGAAGTTTTTTCTTCCTGTGATGTTTTTTGCATTTTCATATTTGTCAATTCTCTCATTTTTAGGGTCGGACCCACATATTTAAGATTCACGCTCGTTCGATGAGTGTTGAAAGAGATATCAGATTTGAATTGTTAGCACGACTGTGTCCAAATAGCACTGGTAAGTAGAAAGTTCTTGCTTATATTTGCTGGTCTGTCTGTTCAGGCTGCTTTAATTAAGCCTGTTTATTTTCTTTTTGTTTGAAAGGTGCTGAGATTAGAAGCGTCTGCACAGAAGCTGGTATGTTTGCCATCAGAGCACGGCGAAAAATCGCTACCGAGAAGGATTTCTTGGAAGCTGTAAATAAGGTCATTAAGTCTTATGCCAAATTCAGTGCTACTCCTCGTTACATGACATACAACTGAACCCTGAAGGCTTTCAGGTGAAAACTTTAGATTGGAATCCTAACCTTACATAGACTTGTTAATAACCACTTCATAAACAAATAAATGGCTTCAAAATTGTATGTTTCCATATCTCTTCTTATAATAAAAGGTGATCTCTAATGTTATTAGACAGAAAAGCTTGTTAGAATATATTTTGACTGTTTTTTTGACCCACTCCCATTTAAGGGTTTCACAGCAAACAGAGTGCTTGCTTAGATGGCTTATATCCTGGGCATATGCTGGCTGGGTGCTCTACATAGAAATTCTCATTGTATCCTCCCATCTGTCCATTGAGGAAGATTATCAAATGGATCTTCATCTAATGGATTCATAAACTTTCCTACTTACTTGTAGTGGCAAAGCTGGGTTTCTGGTCCAAGTTTGTCAGCTCCATTACCTATGCTCCTATTATCCTCTTCTGTCCCGCATCAAAGTAGCTCACTTAGGCTTCTGACCACATGCATTATGATAGTTTCCCACCACCATGTTGAATAATAAAAGCTTTGGCCAAATCTTTTTTAAAGTAAGAGAAACATTGGATGTATATGTTTTGCATTGCAATTTGATTTCAAATTAATCAGGAAGAATTAGTGATTTTAATGAGCAGTAAAGTAATACAATAAAGCAGAAAGAAAAATGTTCAGCCAGAGGTGAAAGAGTAGTAAAAAAGACAAAAAAAAAAAAAAGATGTGTGTACATATGATCTAATTTAGAAAATCCGGAATTGGCTTCATACAGAAAAGTGATTACTTTCATTTTACAAATTAGTTTAAAATTTTGGTAAAATGTCTGTTAGGCTTCTGGTCTACAGTTAGGTATTTTAAAAATAAAGGTTATATTAGAATCCTCAACAGATCTTTTTAAAATTATCTCCTGTGTAACCACCACCAAATCCTATCTTCTACCACAATTACCCCTTCCCCCAATGCCAAGACCAAAGCACAATAATGAATATTTTTATTGAAGTTCGATATTCATAAATAAGTTGCAAAATAAAGTTGGACACATTTTAAATTTACAATAGAAAAAGTTGACAACCTAGAAAATGCTGTGTTGCACTGAAATATGGAAAATTATGAAAGTTTTCAAGAAATTAAAGCCCTTTATAAAATCCAACCAACATTCTTGATTTTTCATTTTTATGAACTTGATCAGAAAAATTCGTCTTTTTAAACCCTGCTCTAGTCTTTCTTGAGGAATTAAATAGACCAAACTATTTTCAGGTTATGCTTACAATAAAATATACTCAAGAAAATGACTGAAGATGTATGTTTTTGAATGTTTTGATTAAATAAATGTATGCATTTAGAACACACTCTCAAGTCTTTCCACTTTGTCATGGCCACATGCTCATATATACCAATTAAAGACAACTCAGATAGTATTGAGCATACTCTGTTCTAACGATACAGAGTGACTATTGTGATAATTAATTTAGGACCATAAGGAAAATCTAATTGGCTACACATCAAATATAAAATCAACTATTTGAAAAATTTGGGTGTTTCTGTCAAGGCATATTTATGCAGGTAGCATCAACATTGTCTAGGTCAGCATGTTTGTACCCTACTTAAAAAGATGAAACAGACATTTACCAATAACTTCTTCCACCTAAAATAGATGTGTCTATATACATGTGTGTAGATGCACACACACATATATATATGTGTCAGGGTGCTAAGTTGGAATACAAAGGATTTATGACCTTAGAAATACATATTGTAGAATCCCGTTTAAAAACAACATTAAAATGTGATTAGGTTTATTAAAAAACTCAATTTTCATGATGCTTCTGAGGTTTATCTGTTAGGTAAAGTGAAATGCAATATACCAGTACAATGAAAAGCCTGGTACACCTTTCTCAAAGGCCAGGTGGAGTTTTAAGATGCTCAAACTTGATAAAATCCAAGTCACTAAGCAGGCACGTTACCTGGTGTGGGGCTAGCTTTTACCATTGTGTTGTTGGGATTGGAGGGGCTTCACAACCATTGCCTGCATTTTGGTTTGAAGAATTCCATAATACTTTCACAGTTCTCAAACTTTTATGAGCATTCAGAACAGTAAGAATCCAAACATCCTGAATCCTAAAGGCACTCCTGAAGGGTGAGGTGCACTAAAAAGGACCAATAGCATTTTTTGCACTCAGTAAAGCATACAGGCTCACACCGAGGAAGTTCTGTTTGATTTTAGAATTTAAATTGATTTACTATCTTTAAAGGGGCAGACATAATAGAGCCTTCCCCACCACATACTCTTCCCTCCCTCATCCCCACACAAGGGCACACCCCCACCCCCCAACACACACAAAAACACACCCACCCACCCCAGGACAGATTCACTGGGTTTGCTACCCTCTTTTCTTCATCTACACAAGACAGCAGACTCATTTTCTCAAAAAGTGTACACTCAGAGGCTGGTACTGTCTTTCTCTGCTAAACAGGTAAGGACACAGGATCAAACCACACGGAGTGGATGTTTTAGATGTTTCCTGCGAACTACAAAATGAGCTATTCCAGGGCTTGAAGAGGATCCATACCCTTAACAGTTTCTCGGGTTCCACTGCAGATGAGATTGGCAATTGGGATCCCATTATCGGCTGCCATATACTTATACAGAGTCAGTGTCTAAGACATAGATTGGAATTTCCTGGGCCCTGTTTCACAAACGTTTTCAAACATATTCCATTGATTCATGAGACAGAGATCAACCACTGTCATACCGCACAGGATTTGAGAAGGTCAAAGGACTTTTCTTTACGGGACCTTCTTCAAAACAGTGCTTTCCCATATATTGCCATAAAATAAGGCTAGTCCTTAGATTATGTAGATTATACCCATTTTGATAGGACCATATGAACCTGAATTTGAATCAGGGTGGAAAAACATAGAAGATACAGTAGCAGCTATTAAGGCCCAGAAAGAACAGGTGGGCTTACACATTATTTCCTTGAAAGGCAGAGATAAGCCTGTAAGACAAAAAAGGTCAGGAAATTTTCACTGTATGAAATAATTCTAAGTAAAACATTCTGACATATTTACATACAGATGAAATGTATTTTGAAATGCACTCGTTCTCAGATGCTAAGCAAAATGATAAAACAAAAATATATTTCCCTCCTTAAGACTTGGTGCTTTTAATATACATAACAATTCTATTCAAAACAGTTTAAAAGTTTAACAGTAAAGCTAAATACAAATGTGTAACAGACAAATACCTTTTTTTGTACACTACTTTCTTTTTTTTTTTTTTTTTTTAGATGGAGTCTCGCTCTTGTTGCCCAGGCTGGAGTGCAGTGGCACGATCTCTGCTCACTGCAAGCTCCACCTCCTGGGTTCATGCCATTCTCCCGCCTCAGTCTCTCGAGTAGCTGGGACTACAGGCACCCGCCACCACACCCGGCTAATTTTTTTGTATTTTTAGTAGAGACAGGGTTTCACCGTGTTAGTCAGGATGGTCTCGATCTCCTGACCTCATGATCCGCCCGCCTCGGCCTCCCAAAGTGCTGGATTACAGGTGTGAGCCACCACGCCCAGCCTGTACACTACTTTCAATCTATCAAGCACGGTATCTGCTGGTGCTAAAGAATGTGCAATGAATTTTTTTTTTTTTTTTGAGACGGAGCCTGGCTCTGACACCCAGGCTGGGTTTGCTACCCTCTTTTCTTCATCTACACAAGACAGCAGACTCATTTTCTGCTGATCTCAGCTCACTGCAACCTCCACCTCCCAGGTTCAAGCCATTCTCCTGCCTCAGCCTCCCGAGTAGCTGGGACTACAGGTGTGCACCACCATGCCTAGCTCACTTTTGTATTTTTTAATAGAGACAGGGTTTCACCATGATGGCCAGGCTGGTCTCAAACTCCTGACCTCGTGATCTGCCCGCCTCGACCTCCCAAAGTATTGGGATTACAGGTGTGAGCCACTGCGCCCGGCCAAAGTATTTTAACATAGTTTAAAATCCTTAAATTCTACTTAAATGGCTGAAATGATATGGGCTCTTTTACAAAAGTTTCTAGTGTAAGCTGAAGTTCTACAACTACATGCTCTTTCAGAAGGCAGTCTGTATCAGAATGCAGATGTATCTGATCTCATGTGATGATTGCAAAGGAAATAACTAAGCAAATCTAAATTCCACTCTAGAATTAGCTAAAGTTTTGATTAAAAGGAGGAGTTTATTTTGAATTAAATTAGTAAAGACAGTGAGAAACCTGATAGGAGTTAACATGAACACATACACAGGGTTTGGTTGCAAGTAGGCCATGCTAACAATTCCACTGGGATCTGACTACTTTCTCCTGGCAGTATCTTATTCATGAAAACTATAACAAGATGTCAATAAGACAACATATTAAAGAAAAAACAAACTCACTATCAGCAGGAACTCTTAGCAGAGCAGGCTTTAGACAGGTTGGCTAATACCTATGCTTTGATTTATAGTGAGCTGATAGTTACAAACAACTGAAAGTGACAAATTGGTTTAAAGGTATCCTCCTCCAACCTTTGACATTCCATGTTTCTGTGGAATGAGTATGATGAGCATTATGCTTATTCCTAGGCTGAACATTGAGTTTGATGTGTAATGAACTGATAGTTGTTATGAACTTCTAAGGAAGATTTAAGTTACACCTGGGGGTTAGTTTTCTTAAAAACATGGTCTTTAATGCTACTTCATGTGTAGCAACAATAACAAAGCTTTTAAGGACTTATACTGGCCACAGTCATGACACTTTGAGCATCAAAAAGAACATAATGGATTGAAACCCATTAAAACTTTCAAAATTCACAAGACCACCATCACACCAGAAAAGGGAACTCTAAAAAAACCCCACTAATTTGTCACCATCTAATAAACCAGTTATTTACTTTGAAGTTCATAATTAAATGAAAATAATAAAGCATTCAACCTGCCCTGCTAGTAGAACTATAGGTGGGTAAGGATGACCAACAGCTCAAGTGGAGAAGGGAAAGTTATAGTTCACATAGAACAATCAACTAATAAATGCAGAAGAAATGAAAGAACTAGACAACCTACTCACAAACCTTAATAAAGTTAATGATTTAGCAAAGAATTACCACCCAATGTTAAAACTCCTGGTAAATGGCTAGTGGGGGACTGGACATTCATTCAATGCCAAAGGAATACCACACAGATAAGTCTGTAGTCACAAAGGGGAAAATCTAACTGGAGGATCAGACTCATGCTGATCCACTCATCTAGCTTAGATCACTAGATTAGTTAATGGTACATCAATTAGATATTACATGTTTTCTGAAGTGATGCAATATGAAGCATGTATCTTATCTATGATATAATCTAGCACAAAATGCTCTAATTTGAATCTATAAAGGCTTTAGATATAACTTTCAGATTGCAGGCAGTAAAGGCAATATAAAAATAAGTTAAACAACACCATGAAAAAGCAACTAGGCAAATTCACAAGACAGGATTCTACAGGACAGCTGCCCCAGTCTCTTTAACAAGTCAATGTCATAAAAAAGGAACCGTGCTAGATTAAAATAGACGTAAGGGACTTTAAAGGACATGACCAGTTGCAACGTAAGGTCATAGAATGAATATCAGTTTGCACAAACCAACTGCAAATTTGGGGACAATTGGGGAAATTTAAATATGGTCTAAGGCAAAAAAATGTGCTGGAATGAGAAAGTGGAGATTGTTGATTAAAGAAAAATCGGTTATAAAACACTATAGATGTGGTCTTACTTTGGTTAAAAATGTAAATGTATATGCATGGAAAAAGATCTGGAAGGACATTAAGATGTTAACAGTGGTAATCTCTGGTGGAAATACAATGTTTTATCTTCTTATTTTTGCTTGTCTATTTTTTCAAAAATGTCCTCAATGCATTTATATTGCTTCTATAATAAATAAAAGGTTATTTTAAAACAAGAACTTCTAGAAAATTGCAGTTTCTTTCTTCTGTTACATAACTAGTTACAGACAGTCTGTAGACCAACAAGTACAAAAACAAAGAACCACTAATTATCTGGCGACAGCATATCCTATTCATAGGTTAAAAGTACTTAACTGAAATAAATTTTTCAGTGCTTAGCTTACAAAGATAATACTAAAATGTAGCAGAAATGCCTCTCCATAATAAATGCAGGCAACAGGCCAATTTATCTTTGAAATGTTCAATTAAAAAAACACAAGTACGATACATCTTGCTAGGCGTCATTCACCCTCCAAATCAAGCCTCGACTACTAGTATTTACCCTTAGGAAAAAAAAAAATCTAGTGTCTAGTATTTAAAACGTGTAAATTATGAACTTCACGAGAGGCTTATAACCCCATCCTAGGGTGAGGTCCTCATCTATGCCTCAGGAGTGGCAGGAGTGGCATTGGGCTCCAAGTCCTCCTGGGGAGGGGCAGCCGAGGCTTCCTGTTCAGCAAGTGCCTCTCTACGTTGGCTGCCTAAAACCGCATCATGAATGCTGTGGAACAGCAGCTCCCATAGGGCAGGATTTTCAAAAAATCTATTCCGAGTGAGGTCATTCACAACTTGTGCTATTAAAAGAAGAAAAGAAAATTAGTCCACACTCTGGGTATCAGTCTTCAACAATTAAAAAAAGGTAACACTTCCATATAGTGCTTTTTTTTTGTTACTGAGTCTCACTCTGTCACCCAGGCTGGAGTGCAGTGGCGTAATCTCAGCTCACTGCAACCTCCACCTCCTGGGTTCAAGCACATATAGTTTAAATATTAAAATGCTATAGGAAAAGTTTCACTCCAATTCCTGGCTCCACCCATCATACCCGCAATCCCAGGAAACTACTTTCTTGTGTGTTCTTCCAGGATTTCTCTATGTAAATATAAATAAATGCGTATTATTATTTCTCACTTTTCTTATCCCCAAAACAGCATATTTTATATATTTGGGGATAAGAAAAATGGGAAATATATATATATCCACATACACACATATAAATATAAACATATATAAATATACACATACATACACACACATATATATACACACACATATATAAAAAGCTGTTTTGGGGATAAGAAAAGTGAGAAATAAAAATATATATATTAATGTTATAAATATAACATATATATCTAATTCTGAACCCTTTTTGCTTAATTTTTTATCACTACATCATATTCTATTGTATAGATGTACACAGTTTATTTAACTAGTCCCTTTTGTTTGGTACTTGAGTTTTTTCTTTTGTTTTATAACAATGCTGTGATGATCAACAACATACATGTGTCACTTTGAACATATGCAGCATGTTGCTGGATTTTCTGTGTCGAAAGGTAAATGCACTTATAATTTTGAAAGCTAATATCAGTCTGCCCTCCATAGGGGCTGTTGCATTTTGTGCTACCATCAGTAAAGTCTGAGAAAGCCCGTTTTCCCACCATATGCCTATGGAGCATGTTGTCATTTATTTTTGATTTTTGGTAATCTTACAGGTGAAAACTGGCATCTGTATGCAGATTTCATTTTCAAGCACTTTTTCTATTATTAATTTTTTTTTTCTTTTAAATAAAGATGGGCTCTCACTATGTTGCTCAGGCTGGTCTTGAACTCCTCCTACCTTGGCCTCCCAAAGTGTTGGGATTATAGGCGTGACCACCACACCCAGCCTCAAGCACTGTTTTACTTTTTTTGTTTTTCCTTTTTATGAGACAGCGTCTTACTCCTCACCCAGGCTGGAGGGCAGTGACGTGATCTTGGCTCACTGCAACCTCCGCCTCCCAGGTTCAAGTGATTCTCCTGCCTCAGTCTTCCAAGTAGCTGGGACTAAAGGCATGTGCCACCAAGCCAGGCTAATAGTTTGTATTTTTAGTAGAGACGGGGTTTCACCATATTAGCCAGGATGGTCTAGATCTTCTGACCTCAGGTGATCCACCCGCCTCAGCCTCCCAAAGTGCCGGGATTACAGGTGTGAGCCACCATGCCTGGCTCCTTTTTAAAAAATTCTTTTTCTTTCTTTTTTTTGGAAACAAGTTCTCATTCCTTTGCCCAGGCTGGAGTGTAGTGGCGTGATGTTGGCTCACTGCAACTTCTGCCTCCCAGACTCAAGACACCCTCCCACCTCAGCCTCCCGAGTAGCTGGGATTACAGGCATGCACCACCATGTCTGGCTAATTTTTGTATTTTTAGTAGACGGGGTTTCGCCATGTTGCCTAGGCTGGTCTTGAACTCCTAGGCTCAGGCAATCTACCTGCCTTGGCCTCCCAAAATGCTGGTATTACAGGTGTGAGCCACCACACCCGGCCTCAAGCACTGTTTTAATCAAAACGTAATATAAAACAAAAATAGCAGGCAAAGTATTCCCAAACCATTGGACAGAGAAACAAGCAACCTGAATGATTATATGTAACTGTTTATGGCAGTCATTAGATAATTGTTACTGTAGTAATGTATATATTATAATTACTATATTTATAGCAGCCATTAATACTAGAATAAACGATGGCTTCTTGGCTCCTTTCCTCCAACTCCAGTTCAGGAGGGTTGTCACAAGTAACTTGTAATATGAATGCCTCCATGTGGCTAATTTCAAAGCTGGCTTTAGAGTGATTTTTCAGAGGAATAATTTTCATTTTTATAAAATAATTAAAATTCAGGACATTTCCAAGTGCAATTGTTTAAATAAGAGAAACAAAACTGAAATATTAAGCTTCACCCCATCGTAGAGGTATACTCACCACTGCATCCTGCTAAGTATACATATATACCAACGTCTCCATATTCTTTTACAATCTGTAATAATGTTGAAATAAAGTTTAGTTTCTCTTTACTCTGTGCCAGATGAAAGTCTCTTTTTACCATTGTTTTTCAGTGATAGAAGACACTCTAATTCATTCACTTGAGCTGCTTTGCTTCAATAATGATGTATTTTGAGCTAATCAATTAAAAATAATTTTGTATTTCTTTTGCTTTTTATATGGGCAGTGATAATAAGGGGTAGCAAAAATACTGTTAAATTTTACTTAAGTATAATAAAACTATTATATTAACTTAAAAATATTATAATTTTAAAACTATAACAATTTTTTTTAAGAGACAGCATCTCACTATTTTACTCATGCTGGTCTTGAACTCCTGAGCTCAGCAATCCTCCTGCTTCAGCCTCCTGAGTAGCCCAGCATATTACAGCAATGTTTTCTAAAACGAATATTCTTGTAGCAATAGATATTAAAATATTTACAGATGATGTTATGACTGGGATGTGTTTCAAAATAAAAGAAGAGAAAGTGGATATCAGCTATAAAGGAAACCAGATTGACCATAAGTTGATAATTGTTGAAGCTGAGTGATAGTTCATGGGGGTTCAATATACTAAAATCTTTACTTCTATATATTTTTGAAATTTTCCATAATCAAAAGGTGATAAACGGCAACAGAAGAGAATTTTAAGAGTTGAGAAGAAAGCCTAGTCCACCTCCCTGATTTTGCTGATAGTATGACATTGGACATAGAGGTGTTAAATGACTCATTCAAGAGGATGCTTACCCCTGCCAGAGTTTTCACTCCAACAGAATCAATAAAATTGACTTGAGTGAAATCCAAAATGACAGTGTGGATGTTATCCCCTGGGGGCATAAATCTTTGCATTTCCTCAGGAAATGTGCTTTTGATCACTATTGGGGGATATTTTACTTCACCATCCTCTTCTTCCCGCTTGGTAGCATCTTCTCCATCTACTTCTGCATCCTGTGTCAAAAATTAAACCAAATCAGAATTCTATGAACAACTCACATTTCTGGTTGTGAGAAAGATTTATAATGGAAAATCTACCCTTGTATTCTTAAGCTACTGACTCTACCAGACCCCTTGTAAAATATTTGTCATATTCCAGCCTTGTAACTGAACAAAAAAAGGATGTATGTATAACTTTCCATTTTAACTCAATTTATTTTCTCTTTTTCCTTCTCCTCCTCTTTTTTTTCTTGTCCAACAAAATCCACTCTCCTCAGTTATCTATCCATTTGCCGCTAACTTCTAAAATAGTTCCATTAACTTTAGTACGACGGCTCACACATTAGCATGCCTGAACAGCAAAAGCCAGCCTTTGAGCTTTTTAAACTATCAGCTGAATCAATCTACGACAAAGTGCTAATGGTAAAATCTGTTAAAGTACTGCCTAATTTTTATTTTTTCAAATGATGTTTCCTTTCTTTTTTCAGAAACATCCTCATAACTGACCTTATCAGGTGCCTATAAAATATAGAGGATACTTAGGTGGTTTCTAAACCTTCCTCTTTTAGTAACTTCATACTGTGTTTAAACTTCAGTCATGAGTAAAGATGGAGGTCACTGAATAACAAGACAGAAGGGAATATTTCAATGAAAAGACCACTCACCGCTTTGACAACAGTCGCGTTGGCCATATTTGCATTTCCGACTTCCTTAGCATACTTCCGCATGGCCTTTCTCCTTGCTCCCATGATGACTGCTGGGTTCACTCCAGTCTTTACAGAAGAGCAACATAAGCAAAATCACTTCATGGCGCTCAGAGACCCACCCCAATGCCACTCCCTTTCAAATCTCCCCATTTAACTGCTTTCTGTGTCAGGTTATCACCCCAACCCTTGCACTGCTTTTCCCTCAGAGGCATTAGTAGCCTTTCTTATTCTCAGTCTTTATTCAAGACAACCAGAAGCTAAAGTATTAAAGATAATTTTTAGAGCAGTCTTTATCAGGCTCAGATCTGTTAGGTTGTTATATTTAAGACACTCTGTGGGTTGATAGGGAGGTTTTCCTATATACTGGGTGGTGTAGGGTTGAGTTCTAAATATGACCATAGGAATCTATATGATCCCAGGAGTAAGAAACCTAAACTTATTTTCTCACTTTTTCTTAAATTTTTTTTGGAAAGTTATATATATATATATGATAAGAGAGAATGAACAATGGTGATGGCTGCACAATGTTTATGTACTTAATGCCACCCACTGGACTGTATATTTTGAAAATGCTTAAAATAGTGTATTTTATGTTATGTATCTTTTACTACAATAAAAGGGAGAAACAAAGTGAAAATGAAATAGTATATACAAGGGTATTCTAGTGATCCTTATATCCCTGTCAACCCACAAATCCCACCCTCAGAAATAATCAACTTCTCATGACTCACCTTTCGTTTTAATGCATTGCTATACAAGTCACTATTTGCATAGTAAATTGGTGCATTTATTTGAAATATTTTTATTCCAGGAATTTCTTTCACCTGAAGAGTAAAATATTGCTGAATTTAACACATGGAAATATTTCAGAATGAAAACTGCATAGCCTCCCCACTCCAAATAGAAAATGAATGCAGAAGTTGCTAAGGTCTCCTTTTCAGGGCTTAGCTAAAATAGTGTCACTCTAGCACGCACACACACACACACACACACAAAGATAAAAAAAGAAGTCACTCTTATCTACTCATGCTCTGAACAGAACTGACAGAGACCTTTTAAACATGCGCATCTTTCCATTTGTTTTAAAAGTCAGTCTTTGTTTTATTTTTACCATTAAACACAAAGAAGAAACTGAAAAATACTCAAAAACAGAAAAGAAAATGGATAGGAGATGGAAGGCTGCTGCCCAGACTGTGAGAGGCAGGCAAATAAAGTGAACAGAGGTTTACACTGGTTTGATTCACAGACACAGGAAGGATCCTAAATGGACACAAGTGAAACTGAGTGAATATTTTATCAAGAACCCTCGTGGAACTCTGGGAGGCAGGCTGGAAACAAGTAATCCTGCATATAATTCTTTGGATCGAGGAAAAAAATAGCAATTCTAACACCTTTACCTTAGAGTGAATTTTGTTTCCTCATTTTCTACTACCTTAGCGTGAGTCTGAGAATTTCTTCCCAAGCATAAGACAAGACAGACAGACAAAACTAGTTTTAAAATATTTTGTAAAAATCTTTGAGATTCCACAGAAGAAAAGAACATTCAAAATCAAGGAAGTCTGAAGCCATAATTTTAACCATTAAAATGAAGTGGGAGAATTCCACAGCCCCACCACCTACATTTTACATGGTTAAAATTATTTTACCACTGGTTTACATTCATCAGAAAAAAACCATGCACACACAAACCATCCTTTCAGTTTCAATACTGTATAAATATATACTTTAATTTCCACAATATATACTTATTCCCATTAAAAAATGAGGAAAAATAAATATTGGAAATTGAGTAGTTAATGCATAGTATAAATTATAAAATTGAATCCATACAGTAGATCAAAGCTCAGACTTTTCACTTTGACCACTATGTCTCCCACCTTACCCCTACTTTTTGTCCTGGGTAAAAATGGTACTTAGCCAAGCACATCACATGCTTACAACCTTTTTAAATGATAGAAAAAGGTCCTACCTCCTCATATGCGTCTATATCAATATACACATCAGTTTCAGGAAGCTGTCCAAGGACTTTGTAGCTCGGACTGAAGACAGAGAGTGTTAAATACCATTGTGTTGAGGCACAGCGTGTGATTTCAACAGGAGGTTGTGTATGTTTGCGTCAGGTTGGGGTTTGCTAGTGCATTTGGGAATGCTTGATCCTTACATATTATGTCCCCAGTGCCATTCCAAGCCTAACACACCCCACACACATCACACCACATACACATCACATGCCACACACACACATACATACCACACATGATACGCACACACCATGTACATCTCATACTACACATATGCATCCCAATACCTACCTCACACACCACACACATACACAATACACACACTTACAATGCATACATACCACACACATATATACACACAATAAACACACACCACACATACAGAATACACAATTACATGATATACTACACATATACACACATGCATACATACCACATGTATAATACACAATACCTCCCACATGCATACACACACATACAATGTACACACACCATACATACATACCTCATATCACACACAATATACACACAATATATTACACATATACACATCATACACACCACAGATATACTACACAATGCACACACCCCACATGCATACACACCATGCATATACATACCACACATGTGCAATACACACATACCACATGCACCTCATACCACACACATACACAATACACACACAATGTATACACACCCCACATACCATACATACACAATACACACATCTATACATAATGCATGTACACCACACACATACATACACACAATGCATACACACCCCACACACATGCACAATACAAATACTTACACATAATGCATACACACCACAAAGACACACAATACACACACACCAGACATACACAATATACACAATCACACCATATACCATGCATACACATCCACACATGCATACAAAACACACACATACTACATGGCACACACAATACCATACACAATACACACATACTATATACCTCACACCACACACACCCCTACATACATATACACACACATGCATACACACCACACATGCAATATATAATACACACACCACACACATACATGTGTACACACCACACACATGCACACACTACACAGGCAATACACATACATGCACACACATGCATACATACCCCCCACACTACATGTCACACAATACCATACACAATACACATACCATATACCCCTCTTACCACACACCCCCCCCCCACATACATACACATATACACACCTGCATATACAACCTTCATCCCACATACATACACACACACACCTGCATATACAACCTTCATGCGAGACACAATACACACCACACACATGCATACACACACACAATACACATACATACACATCATGCACTTATACACGTATCACATACACCTCACATATAACATCACACACACACATATCACGTATACCTCACACCACATACACAATGCATATCACACACCCTATACCTCCCCTCCCTGCAACAACATACCACAAATATGATCTGGTCAGGACAAAAGACTCAGGCATTTAGAGGTGGAGGCAACTCTGAATATCGCAGAGTTCAAGTTATGCCAGGGATATATGTAACACAAGTTCTCCTCATGCCACTCAGTAGACAGAACTGTCTTTCTGCTCTAACTCTAAAGTAGGAGAGGGAATTTTTGTTTGTTATTAGCAAGAATCACTGACTCATGGTAGGGGAGTAGTCAATTGAGGGCGTGGGGAGAAAATGAAAATCTCAAATTAGCATAGAAGTTTTCTTAATTAGTCTGAATGGATTTTAAATATTATTTTTTGAGAGTCCTATTTTTTTTTTTTTTTTGAGGCAGAGTCTTACTCTGTTGCCCAGACTGGAGTGTAGTGGTGCAATCTTGGCTCACTGCAACCTCTGCCTCCCGGGTTCAAGTAATTCTCCTGACTCAGCCTACCAAGTAGTTGGGATTACAGGTGTGCGCCACCACGCCTGGCTAATTTTTGTATTTTTAATAGAGACGGGGTTTCATCATGTTGGCCAGGCTGGTCTCGAACTCCTGACTTCAAGTCATCTACCAACCTCGGCCTCCCAAAGGGTCAGGATTACAGACAGGCATGAGCCACTGTGCCCACTCCTAATTCCTAACTCTTTGTAGGACCATCTGGCTCAAATTAGACACTGTAATAACGACAGATACATCTTGAACACCTGTTATTCTATCCTTTGAACAATGCTACTGGGCACTATTAATAATTAATATTATAATAATAGTTAACATTATTAACAATCCTGCCGTCATGTAAATGAGCAATTGAGGCTCAGTGGGATTAGGTGAGTTGTTCAAGGTGAGAAAGCTTGGCAGAGCCAGAATATGGCTCAAGGTCTTTGATTTGACATTCCACAGTTTTGCTACTATGTCCTGGTGCTTCTTAGCATGAATGTCAAAGCACTTTGTAAATTAGAATATACCACACAAGTGTTAGCTGTTTTGCTGTATAGATTCCCTCCATAAGCATTCAGAGAACACAAATGATGTGCCTGGTACTAGACTCCAGGAACATCACTTTTACAGACAAGACGCTCACAGTCTAGTGATATCTGTGGACAAATATGGTTCTGAGGACTGATACTGTAGATAAGGAGCCAAGGCTCTCAGCTGAGTTTGCGATTATGAGAAAACCTCTAAGAGACTCAAAGTGCCGTCCATGTGTTGCAATCCAGTGCCGCAGGGGAGGCAGAGCAGGGGATAGGCACATGGATCACAAGTACACAACTAGCTGAGATGGACACATGCAAGGTGCTGGGGAAGGATCAGAGCATTGCTGTGGGTACCCAGGGGAAGTTGAGGTCCCTGACTGGGCCTCAAAGGATGAGGATTTCAAATGTAGAAGATGAACAGGCCTTCCTGATGATCTGCAGTGCCCTGGCACACCATTTCTGCAATACTATTGCTCCCAGTGAAGGCCAAGTCCTCACTACTTCCCTAATGACACCAAGAGCAAGAAAGTCTCTTTTAATGAAATCCCATGGGGTTTTATTTGGCATTTCTTATGCTTATCACACTGTACCTTGCTTACACCTGTGGAGGCACTCATAACTGTGTATTCTAAGCTTTAAAAATTTACTTTTGTTTTATTATTTGCTTATTTCTTTTTTAGAGATGGGATCTTGTTCTGTGGCCCACGCTGGAATGCAGTGGCCTGATCATGGCTCACTGTAGCCTTGAACTCCTAGGCTCCAGTGATCCTTGTGCCTCAGCCTCCTGAGTAGCTGGGACTATAGGTGTGCACCGCTACAAACTCGCAAATTAAAAAAAAAATTTTGTAGGTTGGGTGCAAAGTCTGACACCTGTAATCCCAGCACTTTGGGAGGCTGAGGTGGGAGGAACACTTGAACCCAGGAGTTCAAGACTAGCCTCAGCATGATGGTGAGACCCCATCTCTACAAAAAATTTAAAAATTAGCCAGGTGTGATGGTGTGTGCCCATCATGGGAGGCTGAGATGGGAGGATCCCTTGAGCCCAGGAATTCAAGGTCGCAGTGAGCTGTGACCGTGCGACTGCACTGCAGCCCATGTGGCAAAGTAAAACTCTGTCTCTAAAAATAATAACATAAAAAATAATTTTTTTTTTTGGTAGAGGCAGGGTCTCATTATGTTGTCCAGGTGGGTCTCAAACTCCTGGCCCCAAGCAATCCTCCTGCCTTGGCCTCCCAAATTGCTGGGATTAGGGGCATGAGATGAGCCACTGTGTTTGGCCTATATTCTAATTTTTTGAAGATGGATTATGAAATGCTGATTGAGGCCAGGAGCGGTGGCTCACGCCTCTAATCCCAGCACTTTGGGAGGCTGAGGCAGGTGGATCACGAGGTCAGGAGTTCAAGACCAGCCTGGCCAAGATGGTGGAACCCCATCTCTACAAAAATTACAAAAAATTAGCTGGGCATGGTGGCAGTACACCTCCCCAGTACACCTGCCACTGCAACCTCTGCCCCCCAGGCTCAAGTGAGCCTTCCACCTCAGCCCTCCAAGTAGCTGGGACCACAGTGTGCACCACCATGCCTGGTTAATATTTTGTACTTTTGGTATGGATGGGGTTTTACCAGATTGCCCAAACTGGAGTTTTTTAGTTTTTTTTGAGATGGGCTCTTACTCTTTCATCCAGGCTGGAGTGTAGTAGTGTGATCTTGGCTCACTGCAACCTCAGTCTCTCAGGTTTAAGCTATTCTCCTGCCTCAGCCTCCTCAGTAGCTGGGATTACAGGTGTGCGCCAACACACCTAGCTACTTTTTTTGCATTTTTAGTAGAGACGGGGTTTCACCATGTTGGCCAGGCTGGTTTTGAACACCTGACTTCAAATGATCCACCTGCCTCAGTCTCCCAAAGTGCTTGGATTATAGGTGTGAGCCACTGTGCCCAGCCCAAACTGCAGTGCCCGCCACCACGCCTGGCTGACTTTTGTAATTTTAGTAGAGATGAGGGTTCACCATGTTGCCCAAGCTGGTCTCGAACTCCTGACCTCAACTGATCTGCCTGCCTCAGCCTCCCAAAGTCCTGGGATTACAGGAGTGAGACACCACACTTGGCCAAAAGTTACAGATATTTTAAAACCATAATGTTCACCAAAGTTCTGAGATAAAGAACTCTTATATATACTAATAATGTTCTTTATAAAAATGGGAAACACTTCTTTTAGATAAATATGGGCAACAGTATTGGAACTTGTTATTAAAAGTAGTTAAATTCTTATCTTGAGTTTAGAATCCCACATATTCTTAACATTTTTCTGTTATGTCATTTGTGATGATGCAAGAGCTCATTTCCCACCCTTGAGGGTAGGGAGCATCCTGACATCCTGCAGATAAGGGGTCAACATCCTCATAAAGTGCCCTTTCAACACACCGCAGTCACAACTTGAAGATTTCATGTGATTTGCAACCACAGGCAAAACACACTAGCTTCATTTTCATTTCCCTGTGTGAAAGCGGGAAGGGCACTGGCATTGGGAGAGTGTGTGGCACTTTTCAGGCACTGTGCTGGCTGTTTGTAGGCCTTGTCATTTAAACCTTATTGTAACTATATGAGGTAGAAAGTATTAGTCCCATTTTATAGATGCAGAAACAGGCTCTGAGAGGTATGCAAAATCACAGAGCTTACAGAGGTACTGCCAGGACCTGACTAAAGTCCAGGCTATTTCTATTTTATTTTTAAACTTTTTTTGAGATGGAGTTTTGCTCTTGTTGCCCAGGATGGAGTGCAATGGCACGAACTCGACTCACTGCAACCTCCGCCTTCCGGATTCAAGCGATTCTCCTGCCTCAGCCTCCTGAGTAGCTGAGATTACAGGTGCACGCCCCCACACTCAGCTAATTTTTTGTATTTTTAGTAGAGACGGGGTTTCACCATGTTGGCCAGGCTGGTCTCGAACTGCTGGCCTCAGGATCTGCCCACCTCAGCCTCCCAAAGTGCTGGGATTCAAGGCAAAAGCCACTGCACCTGGCCAGTCCAGGCTATTTCTATGACAATGTTTCCTTTTCACCTTTATGGTGATTTATCATAAAAAGTTTTTGTTTTTGTTTTTGTTTTTTTGATAGAGACAGAGTTTTGCTATGTTGCCCAGGCTGGTCTTGGCTTCAAGTGATCCTCCCACCTCAGACTTCCAAAGTGCTGGAATTGGGATTACAGGTGTGAGCTACCACGCCCAGCCCATAAATATATATATATATTTTTAGATGGAGTCTTGCTCTGTTGCCCAGGCTGGAGTGCAGTGTCTCAATCTCGGCTCACTGCAACCTCCACCTCCTGGGTTCAAGCAATTCTCCTGCCTCAGCCTCCCAAGTAGCTGGGATTTCAGGTGCACGCCACCACACCTGGCTAATTTTTTTTGTATTTTTAGTGGAGATGGGGTTTTACCATGTTTGTCAGGCTGGTGTTGAACTCCTGACCTCAAATGTTCTGCCTGCCTTGGCCTGCGAAAGTGCTGGGATTACAGGCGTGAGCCACTGTGCCCAACCATATTTTTTCAAAAGTTATTTTATACTTTCCCTAGTGGGCTCAGCTTCCTACTAGGGAGAAGAGATTAACAGGGATAGTGGTTCAGGGTGGAGGAAAGGACAATGGAAGGACTGCAAATGATAACTTGGTGTCAGAGTTTGCTTCATGTCATTGAAACCCATGTCAGTACCTGGTGCCAAAACAAACTGCAAGAGGGTAAATAAACCTGCATAGCACTAGACCGGGAATGGCAGAAACAATGATGGAAATTAGGCTCTTTTAACATAACCATTGATGGGAGCATAAATTGTGACACAGTAGAGCATTTGGCAAAAGTATATGGAATTTTTTAATTGGCATTTTGTTCATTTAGTCTACATGAGTGTTACAACTCCCTCTCATACTAACTAGAAATCATCAAAGGGCTCCACTTTTACCAACTTAAACTTTGGTCTACACTCAAAGTCAACATTGTAATCTCTGCCGGGATACTCACACCCATTCAAATCTGGGCACTCACCTCTGTGTTCTGTAAATCACAGTCAGCAGAGCAATGATCACAGCGGTGATCAAACCATAGTCCAATCCCAGGAACAAGGAGGACACAAAAGTGGTAAGCCAGATGGTCTAAGCAAAAGACAGAAAGCTTGATGAAGAACCATGTTAAACATCCCACAAGAGGCAAACACGCAACTAACTGTGCACACACACATGCTACTTTTACCTTGCCTAACTGGATACTGCACATAACAACTGCATTAACTTATCTTTCTCACATTTTTCTTAGCATAATCATATTTGCTCTATGACATATTAACATAGCCATCACCTTTGTTACTTACCAGCTCTATTTTGCTGGTTCTCCAGAAAAAGGGGAGATCTGAGAACTGCATAAACATTCCCTTCAGGTTGACAATCACAATGGCGGACAGCACAGCCTGAAACAGAGCACATCCCCCATGCCTCTCCTCTTGTGTCCACAGAGTACCCTTTGCTGGTTCCTCACTGTCCTCCTGCTGTCCTCCCCATGTCTTCTCCCTACTCACTTCCTATATGGCACTGATGGTAGCTTTGAAGCCATGGACACTTGGATTTTCAGGACCTGGTTAGCTAAAAGGGGCCTTGGAAAATCAGTCTTTTTTCTTTTTTTTGAGATGAAGTCTTGTTCTGTCACCCAGGCTGGAGTGCAGTAGTGCAATCTTTTTTTTTTTTTTTTTTTTTTTTGAGACGGAGTCTCCCTCAGTGGCCCAGGCTGGAGTGCAGTGGCTGGATCTCAGCTCACTGCAAGCTCCGCCTCCTGGGTTCATGCCATTCTCCTGCCTCAGCCTCCCAAGTAGCTGGGACTACAGGCGCCCGCCACCTCACCCGGCTAGTTTTTTCTATTTTTTAGTAGAGACGTGGTTTCACCGTGTTAGCCAGGATGGTCTCGATCTCCTGACCTCGTGATCCACCCGTCTCGGCCTCCCAAAGTGCTGGGATTACAGGCTTGAGCCACTGCGCCCGGCAGTAGTGCAATCTTGGCTCACTGCAACCTCTGCCTCCCAGGTTCAAACAATTCTCCTGCCTCAGCCTTCTGAGTAGAGTAGCTGAGACAACAAGCACATGCCACCACACTCAGTTAATTTTTATATTTCTAGTAGAGACAGGGTTTCACCATATTGGCCAGGATGGTCTTGAACTCCTAACTGCAGGTGATCCGCCTGCCTCGGTCTCTCAAAATGCCAATTGCAGGTGTGAACCACCACACCCGGCCGGAAATCAGTCTGATATCCTAATAGCAAACCTGCATGGTGGCCAAGAGGTTCAGAATTAAACTTGGTACTCAAGGAATTATTTCACCTATGGTCTTTCTACATTATGATCGTCTCTACTCTATATGGTTTCTGATCTCTACTAGATTAAATGTATCATCATGTAACTATCTTATGAGTATAGGCCACCTCAGATTTTTTTATGAAAGTATAAGGTCATAGAAGGTCAAAGAGAGAAGGGACGTTCAAGATCAGCCAGTCCAAACTCTGACGCTGCAGATAAGGAAACTGAGACTCAGAGGAGTTAAGATGGCTTTCCCCAGTTCCTGCAGGCAGCTGTCAGTAGGTTACAGAGCAGGATCTTGGTCCTAGCCTTGGCCCTTTCTCATGCCATCCTGTGAGGGTTACAGTAAATAACCCTAATATAGCCATAAAAACATAAACAAATAAAATAGCAAAATCTCTACACATGAAAAAAACTTCACCCAAGTCCACATTATACTCACCTGGGGCAATGATTCAAAGAGGAATCCAGTTGCTAATATGACCAGCAGAATCATTAATGAGGCCAAACAACCTGCAAGCTGAATGGGAGAAGACACATGGAGGGGGCTTTTAGGAGACCTGAATAAGCGGCAGGGCATAAGTCGGTTTTATTCTTTTGATAATTACTATGGGAAGATCAAGAAAATAAGCATTCAAATAAGTCAACTGAACCACTACATACCTATAGCTCCATCCCACTCCCTCTCTGAAGTTTTGGTTCTTCTTACAGCTTTTAAATGGAAGCTGAAATGCTGAAATATCCTAATTAAAATGCCCTTTCCGGAGGTGGGGAAAAGATGTCTGGTGTCAATCTGAGACCCACAAAGGCCACCAGAAGAGTTCAGATAAGTGTCTGTTGTCCAATAATGGAGCCAGTAGCCACATGTGGTCATTTCTTTTTTTTTTTTTTTGAGACAGAGTATCTGTTGCCAGGGTGGAGTGTAGTGGCACAACCTCGGCTCACTGCAACCTCTGCCTCCCAGGTTCAAGTGATTCTCCTGTCTCAGCCTTCCGAGTAGCTGGGACTACAGGCGCCCGCCATCATGCCCAGCTAATTTTTGTATTTTTAGTAGAGACAGGGTTTCACCATGTTGGCCAGGATGGTCTCGATTTCCTGACCTCATGATCCGCCCGCCTAGGCCTCCCAAAGTGCTGGGATTACATGTGTGAGCCACTGCACCCTGCCGGCCATTTACATTTTTAAAAATTAAGTCAGGTCTTGGTCGAACTAACCACATTTCAAGTGCTCAAGAGCCACATGTTGCTAGTGGCTGCCATATTGGACAGTGCAGATATGGAACATTTCCATCACTGTGGAAAGTTCTACTGGATGGTGCTGGCATACTGCCCACACTCAGTCTCAGGCTTTCATGAACAACATCCCATGTCTGAACTTTGAGGTTGACTGGTAGCCGAGCGTTGCATAACTTTCCAATTTAACTGGAGAATATACCTCTTTCCTATAGATTCAGTTCCTTGTGATTCACTTCAACCAACCATGCCTTTCTCTGATTCACTATACAGCTCATTGGAGCATGGATCTGCAGGCAGAGTAGCTTTTTTTTTTTTTTTTTTTTTTTTGGGACGGAGTCTTGCTCTGTCGCCCAGGCTGGAGTGCAGTGGCAGGATCTCAGCTCACTGCAAGCTCCGCCTCCCGGATTCAGGCCATTCTCCTGCCTCAGCGTCCCAAGTAGCTGGGACTACAGGCGCCCGCCACCTCGCCCGGCTAGTTTTTTTGTATTTTTTAGTAGAGACACGGTTTCACCATGTTAGCCAGGATGGTCTCGATCTCCTGACCTCATGATCCGCCCGTCTCGGCCTCCCAAAGTGCTGGGATTACAGGCTTGAGCCACCGCGCCCGGCCGGCAGAGTAGCTTTGTTTGGGTTCAGAATATAATCAAAAGATTAAAATTTAATTACCACCCATATCACCAGGTCTTAGAGGCCTGTTATCTACACACCTGTGTCTTCCCACCAGTTCCCTCCTGAACAAGGCTTCGAGACAAGGAGCATGAAATTGAAAAGGTCTGGAAGAGTGAGCCAATGGAATTGCACAGTCCCAGGGCAATGAGCTCCTTTTCCATGTAGAAACAAAACACAAAAGAGATAGGTCATTCTTCAGGAAAAAAAAGCGTAATAGCCCATTTAATACACATTGTCAGCACTACAGTCTATCTCTTCATTTTCCTTTCAGATGTAAGAATTTGTTTAGCATGAGTTCAAAATAGGAATTATGGCATATTTTACAGTGGGGGGAGGAAACACTTTGAATTTTTATTTCGTCAGAGATAAATGCTGAGCTCCCTGCTTAGCCTCCTTCTTTCCAAACACATCCTCTACAAAATCTTCTTAATGCTTAAGAAGAAAACTGCACGAAAAGGGATAAACTATTTTTATTGCCGAAGAGAAAGTTATTGTTGTATAGGACTCTTAGCATCTTTTTAATGCCTGGGCTATTGCTTGTCAATGAATACATGCCAGTGTCTTCCTGGGGCGAGTCCTGCTCTTAGGTTTACTTTGGGTATTTCTAGTTTGACAACTGCATCTCAGATGAATGTGGAGCATCTAGTTTCTCCTTAGAACACATAAGGTATTGAAATAGACATTGTTATGTCAACATTATAGGTCACAGTGTTTGGATTAAACAACTTATCTATGGCTGTGTTATAAAGTAGGTGACAAAGAGAATATTGTGGAGTTAGTGATGAATCATATACCCAACTTCTAATGAACAAAGATAAGCCTTCCTGGGGAGCAAAAACGCCCTGGAAAAACATTTAATTCTAAGCTGTGAGCTTTAAGAATAGGGATAACATTACAGGTTGAATAAATACATGCTTCAGATACAACAATCACCAGTAAAAAAAAGTTTTTCTACCAAGATAGATTAGTTCTTGTGACTTCCACAATCGACGCTGGTGATTGTACTGCTATGAAACATCTGCAGGAAACTGATTATCTTTACCTGATTGCCGTCAACCTGGTAGCCATGTTTATTTGCTAAGGTCTTGGCCATGGAGATGGTCACTGAAAATCCAACGATGGCTATGGCAATGGCATCTACGTACACAAGGTGGAAGAGGCTGGTGTCCGGATTGGCTGGAGGTAGCAGCCTGAAAAGTCAAGCTGACTTTAACTTGTGTTGTGACCACAAGGGAAAAGAAAAAAAACCCTGCGACTGCAGGGAAGCATTTTAGGGGGGTATTATCTGCAAATGAGGTGATCAATGTTTGGGTACTTATTTGCTCTGGTTAGCAAAAAAGGAGGGCCCTCCTTGACACAGAGAGGATCTTTTCAGGCTCAAACTGCAGAGTGCAGCTTTCTACCTGGATGGGTTATCAGAAGACATCAGATGCCGTTTTATTTATAAAAGGAGTAACCTCATACCTCATGGTACCGTAATGGCAAGTGTAAGACACAGAAAGCAGGAAGAAGAGAGGGTCAGCAAAGTGCTCGGATGCCACCAGGCATCTGAACCCAAGTCCTGGGGTGGGGAGGAGCGTAGTCTAAGGGCTACCTTAGAGGAGAATTAATGTCCTGGCAATGCTAGGCACCCCATACTTCTCCCCCTTGTCATCTGATGTAAGGACTCTGAGTCTGCTACCTCTTCCTGTTTTTTTTTTTTTTTCCTAACCAATTAGCTGAGTTTGTAACACGGGAAGGGAGCAGCAGAAGACTATACTCCTTGGGTGTCACCTAGGAATCTTTTGAATTTGGAGGAGACAAAAGTATGACTCCTGGAATCCCACAATGGAGAACCCAGCTTTTGTGGTACATACTTGTAGTCTGGGATTCTTATCCTAAAGAAACAGAATAGGGATTCCCTAGCATGTTATGGGGAGAAGTGGGCAATAGGAATTTTCAGACATTCTGCTCCAATTCAAGGCATTGGGCTAAACAATAATAGCAATAACTTAACTGATACTAATAATTATAATTATTACAATAACAAGCATTCATTACGTGCCTTCTCTTTGCCAGGTTCTGTGCTCATTTAATTATTTTCAATGGCCCAGTGAACTAGGCACCATTATAATTTTACAGATGAAGAAAATGAGGCATAGTGGGGTTCAGCAACTTGTACAAGGACAAGCAGCTCATCTACCAAGTACAACAAAACCATGAAGAACCTGCTTGGCTACAGCTATTTCTCTTACTATGTCATAGCGCAGTGATGGAAGGGATGTTTCACGTCATGGAGTAAGGAAAGAGCGGAAGAAAGGGAAAGGAACCTAGTGTCTATTAAGGTGAGTTTACCTGCTACATACTTTACATAAGTCGTCTCATTTTTCCTCACAGCACTCCCATTACATAGGTTCCACTATTATCCCAATTTATAGATGAATAAATGGATTTTGACAGACGTTAAGTGATTTTCCAAAATGGAGCAGGGAGTCAAACCTGGGGGGTCTGACTATAAAATCTGTTGTCCTTCCCTGCTGTTTGCTGCAAAGGCATGAACTAAGAGGGAAGGCCTAGGAGCAGGTTTGGGCCTAAGGGAATAAGAATATAAGAAAAGGACATATTTTGGAATGAGTTAAGGAAAGTAAATAAACAAACATGAAAACAGGATACAGTGCTATGACTGGGATCTTTAATAGTCAACTGTCACTTTCTGAGCACTGCAAAATGCACTGCTCATCTACCAAGTATGACAAAACCACGAAGAACCTGCTTGTCTATAGTAGATGCATTTATATGTGTATGTATGTGTACATAGAAGCGTGGTAGTTTGCTTCCATTCCTCCCATACGTAATTACATGTGCATGACACTCCCCCAATCTAGATGTGGAATCTGTTTCCCCTCCAGCTATATCTGGGCTGGCCTCATGATTTGCTTTGAGCAACAGCATGTGGTGGAAGTGATGCTGTATGAGTGCCTTAAGAGGCCTGGTAAATTCTCTGCTTTTCTTTCCTGTTGCTCTGAGCCCCCATGTAAAGAGGTCTGGCAATGCTGCTGAAGATACCACTTGTAGAGAACATGCCAGCCAGCCCTCACCTGTTCCAGTCACTCCAGCTGAAGTGTCAGACATGTGAGTGAAGCCTTCTTGGATCCTCCAACACTAGTCATACCTGCAGACATCTGCAGATGCATAAAAAACCCCAAGTGAGACCTGCCAAAGAACCACCCAACTGAGCCAAACCTAGACTAAATAATTATGAGCAAATTAATGGCGGCTATTTTAAGTCACTGTTTTGGGGTAGTCTGTTATCAGTGGAGCAATAAGACTCACAGGTAACTGAAATGGTATGATTGTATGTAGATAGGTAGGTAGGTATTTGTTACCTACTTGGTTTTGGGCAATGTTCCAGAAAGATAAGGTTTCTGGGTAGCCAATTTCCAGAAATGTAAAGTCTTTTTTTTTTTTTTAAGTTAAGCTGTCACATATAGAAGGGAAGCAGTATGTTTGAGTACAATGCAATAGGAAAAGGAAGGTATTAAGTAGAAATTATAGTGACAAGTAGAGAGAGAGAGATATATATATATATATATTTTTTTTTTGCGATGGTGTTTCACTCTTATTGCCCAGGCTAGAGTGCCATGGCATGTGTGATCTTGGCTCACTGCAACCTCTGCCTTCCAGTTTCAAGTGATTCTCCTGCTCAGCCTCCCAAGTAGCTAGGAGCGCCTGCCACCGCACCCAGCTAATTTTTGTATTTTTACTAGAGACGGGGTTTCACCCTGTTTGCCAGGCTGGTCTGGAACTCCTGACCTCGTGATTCGCCTGCCTTGGCCTCCTAAAGTGCTGGGATTATAGGTGTCTGCCACCATGCCCGGCCAATAATATGTTTTTAAAATGTACAGTTAGAAAATATAGATGAAGCAAAGAAGTAACATGATTAGAAACTAAAAACTCATTGAAATAACAGTCTTAGAACCCATTACTAATAAGTAATTCACATGACTTGAATGCTGTGTGTTCAGGTGTTCACTCACTGCCTTCCATGCATTATCTCCTGTAGTTCTCACAACTGCCCTTGAGATAAGCACTAATTACCACGCCCATCTGGCAGGCGAGGAAACGAGGCTTTGAGAAGATAAGTGGCCTGCTTAAGGTCATACAGCTAGTACGTGGCAGGCTAGGATTTAGGTTGTTTTGCTCTTAAATCCTATGTCACTCAAGGAGAGATTTTTAAAACTATTAAATTTAGGAAAACAAAAGAAAACAGAAAACCACTTGCCACTATTGGTGGGATTGTAAAATGGTGTAACTGCTATGGGAAACAGTATGAAAGGCTCTCAAGAAAGTAAAAACAGATCCAGCAATCCCACTTACAGGTATATACCCAAAAGAACTGAAAGAAAGGTCTCAAAGACATATTTGCACACCCATATCCACAGCAGGAATATTCACAATAGCCAAGAGGTAAAGGCGACCCACATGCTCATCAATGGATGCATGGAGAAATAAAATACAGTATATATCCACAATGGAATATTATTCAGCCTTAAAAAGGGAAGAAAATACTGTCATATGCTACAATATAGATAAACTCTGAAGACACTATGCTAACGGAAATAAGCCAGTCACAAAAAGACAAATGTTGTATGATTCCACTTACATGAGGTATCTAGAGAAGTCAAATTCATAAAAACAGAAAGATGAATGGTGGTTAGTAGGGGCTGGGGGAAGAAGAAAAGAGGAAGCTCTTGTTTCAGGGGTACAGAGTTGTAGATTTGCAAGGTGAAAAAGTTCTGGAGATCTGTTTTTACAATAATGGGAATATAGTTAACACTACCGAAATGTACACTTAAAAATGATTAAGATTGGCTGGGCACAGTGGCTCATGCCTATAATCCCAGCACTTTGGGAGGCTGAGCTGAGTGGATCACTTGAGGTCAGGAGTTCGAGACCAGCCTGGCCAACATGGTGAAACCCTGTCTCTATTAAAAATACAAAAATTAGTTGTGTGTGGTGGCACATATCTGTAATTCCAGATACTCAGGAGGCTGAGGCAGGAGAATCACTTGAACCCTGGAGGCAGAGGTTGCAGTGAGCCGAGATTGTGCCATTGCACTCTAGCCTGGGCAAAAGAGTAAGACTCGGTCTCAAAAAAAAAAAAAAAAAAAAAAAAAGCCAGGTGCAGTGGCTCACACCTGCAATCCCAGCACTTTGGGAAGCTGAGGTGGGCAGATCATCTGAGGTCAGCAGTTTGAGACCAGCCTGGCCAACATGGAGAAACCCCGTCTCTAATAAAAATACAAAAATTAGCCGGGCGCGGTGGCTCACGCCTGTAATCCCAGCACTTGGGAGGCTGAGGCGGGTGTATCACGAGATCAGGAGATTGAGACCATCCTGGCTAACACGGTGAAACTGTCTCTATTAAAAACACAAAAAATTAGCTGGGCGTGGTGGCGGGAGCCTATAGTCCCAGCTACTTGGGAGGCTGAGGCAGGAGAATGGCATGAACCCAGGAGGTGGAGCTTGCAGCGAACTGAGATGGCGCCACTGCACTCCAGCCTGGGTGACAGAGTGAGACTTTGTCTTAAAAAAAAAAAAAATTAGCCGGGTGTGACAGCACACGCCTGTAATCCCAGCTACTTGGGAAGCTGAGGCAGGAGAATCGCTTCAACCCGGGAGACGGAGGTTGCAGTGAGCTGAGATGGTGCCACTGCACTACAGCCTGGGTGACAGAGCGAGACATCGTCTCAAAAAAAAAAAAAAAAAAAGATTTAGACAAAATTTTGTTATGTGTTTTTTACTACAATAATACTAAAAATAAAATGCACCCAATGATTATTTTTCATTGCAAGGGTACTAAAGTAAGAGTTAGAGGCAATAGATCCATTGATTATTTCAGTCACATGGTTACTTAAAACTACTTTCCTACCCTAGAGGAAGTGTTCCAACGACATCCACATTGTATGATTCTTTCAAGTTAAACCCAGCTGAAATGCCAGTTCCCATTACCACCTAAAAAGACACAAATCCAAATGCACCTTTAGAGATGAATGTTCAAATACTGCAAAAATCAGCTTCAAATATGTTAGTCAAGTCAAATCTATTCTCACTTTTAACATTCAGATTTAAAAAGAATTACCATTAGCTTCAACAATTCTAACTTCTCTTAATGACCCACCCCACATAATTAAAATGAACTCTACAGTTTATGTCCTGGAATTTTCTTCATGCTTTGTCCTTTTCTCCACTGAGGTGTCTGGCTAATTGACTGCAACAGAAAAAGGTCATAAAGCCTTTCAAACGTTGACCTTACCTTTAGGGTGGTGAAATGAGTCTGTGGCCACAACGTTATAAATAAAGGATATTTAACTCTGTACTTTGAGGGTGGTAAAATGACACTGTATGATTACAAAACATACGTCTGGATTTAGAATCCTCCTGGTGATCCTGTTTCCAGGACAGCAGCCCCAAGTGTGGTGATAGGGCCCCAGCAGCAACCCATAGCTGTCTCCTCCCATTTCAGCTACAAAGTAAGGGTAGAACTGTACATCAAACAGAGGGTCACAGTACATAAGGCCATCCTGGATTGGCAGGGCATAGATTTACTTGGGGTGTAAAGTACAATCCCTAATGAGTTACAAGAGAAACATAACAAAAGGTGAGATAGCAATTTGCTCCATGCCCAGGAACTATTGCCTATAGAGTTTTCTGAGAGAGTTATCCAACAGAGAAGAAATCAGAGCTGGCCAGGGAAGGAAGCCAGTCCCTCCTGAGGAGGGCCACTGCAGGAAACAAATAATAAGGTAAGCTTATTATCAGAAACAGCAGCCTGGGAGACCAGGGGCATGGGGGATTCTGGCTCTTTTGATGGAAGGATCCTTTTCTGTTGAAGACAATTATTTTCATCACCCTTAATTGCATTTTTTGTGCATCTCTAACTAGGAGAGTGCCTCGAATATTTAAATCCACACAATATATATGGCTTAAGCTCCTGGAGCTTTACTTTTATACAGTGGTAAGTAATTTAAACCATTGTTTTCTTATCAACACAAATAGATGTATTATAAAATTGAATGTAAAACTCAAAAAATATTTTTATAATAAAAAATAAATTTGGCACTTAAAGGGAGTCATAAAGATGCTGTCCCTAAACTTTCTAGAATTCTGGGAAACCATTACCCTGGGAAACATGGAAAAGTCTTTAAAGGGAATCTAGGAAACAGAATTAGTAACCCAAAGCAGGAGAGGCAAGCTGTGTCATTTACTTCATAACTGGGGCTTGCCTGCCTTCTTTCCCTCGCAAGGGTGCTCAGAACCTTTTGCTGTACTCGAAGTCAAAACGGGAACTCTGTGCCTAGCCCCAGTGAGAGAAGAGGTTTTGAAACTGTTAGAGATACATTTTGTTTTGTTTTGCCTGTTAAAAGGTACTAATGCCATATAGACAAGACTGAAAAAAAGAAAAAGTTTGAAGGTATTGGTTTCCTTGTGAGCTACACCAGCCAGTTGTTTTCATAGCTAGAACTTTTTGCTATAATTTGGATCAGACACCTATACTCTTCATTTCTTTTTTAAATTTTTAAATTTTTTATTTTATTATACTTTAAGTTCTGGGATACATGTGCAGAACGTGCAGGTCTGTTACATAGGTATACATGTGCCATGGTGGTTTGCTGCACCCATCAACCCGTCATCTACATTAGGTATTTCTCCTAATGCAATCCTTCCTTATGCCTCCCACCCATGGACAGGCCCCAGTGTGTGATGTTCCCCTCCTTGTGTCCATGTGTTCTCATTGTTCAACTCCCACTTGTGAGTGAGAACATGCGGTGTTTGGTTTTCTGTTCCTGTGTTAGTTTGCTGAGAATGATGGTTTCCAGCTTCATCCATGTCCCTGCGAAGGACAGGAACTCATCCTTTTTTATGGCTGCATAGTACTCCATGGTATATATGTGCCACATTTTCTTTATTTAGTCTATCATTGATGGGCATTTGGTTCCAAGTCTTTGCTATTGTGAATAGTGCTACAATAAACACATGTGGATGTGTCTTTATAGTAGAATGATTTATAATCCTTTGGGTATATACCCAGTAATGGGATTGCTGGGTCAAATGGTAGTTCTGGTTCTAGATCCTTGAGGAATCGCCACACTGTCTTCCACAATGGTTGAACTAATTTACACTCCCACCAACAGTGTAAAAGCATTCCTATTTCTCCACACCCTCTCCAGCATCTGTTGTTTCCTGACTTTTTAATGACCACCATTCTAACTGGCATGAGATGGTATCCCATTATGGTTTTGATGTGCATTTCTCTAATGACCAGTGATGATGAGTTTTTTTTCATATGTTTGTTGCCTGTATAAATGTCTTCTTTTGAAAAGTGTCTATTCATATCCTTTGCCCACTTTTTGATGGGGTTATTTCTTTCTTGTAAATTTGTTTAAGTTCCTTGTAGATTCTGGATATTAGCCCTATGTCAGATGGACAGGTTGCAAAAATTTTCTCCCATTCTGTAGGCTGCCTGTTCACTCTGCTGATAGCTTCTTTTGCTGTGCAGAAGCTCTTTAGTTTAATTAGATTCCATTTGTCAATTTTGGCTTTTGTTGCCATTGCTTTTTTTGTTTTAGTCATGAAGTCTTTGCCCATGCCAGTGTCCTGAATGGTACTGTCTAGGTTTTCTTCCAGGGTTTTTATGGTTTTAGGTCTTAACGTTTAAGTCTTTAATCCATCTTGAGTTAATTTTTGTATAAGGTGTAAAAAAGGGGTTCAGTTTCAGTTTTCTGCATATGGCTAGTCAGTTTTCCCAACACCATTTACTAAATAGGGAATCATTTCCCCATTGCTTGTTTTTGTCAGGTTTGTCAAAGATCAGATGGTTGTAGATGTGTGGCATTATTTCTGAGGCCTCTGTTCTGTTCCACAGGTCTATATATCTGTTTTGGTACCAGTACCATGCTGTTTTGGTTACTGTAGCCTTGCAGTATAGTTTGAAGTCAGGTAGCGTGATGCCTCCAGCTTTGTTCTTTTTGCTTAGGATTGTCTTGGCTATGCGGGCCCTTTTTTGGTCCCATATGAAATTTAAAGTAGTGTTTTCTAATTCTGTGAAGAAAGTCAATAGCAGCTTGATGGGGATAGCATTGAATGTATAAATTACTTTGGGCAGTATGACTATTTTCACGATATTGATTCTTCCTATCCATGAGCATGGAATGTTTTTCCATTTGTTTGTGTCCTCTCTGATTTATAGTTCTCCTTGAAGCGGTCCTTCACATCCCTTGTAAGTTGGATTCCTAGGTATTTTATTCTGTTTGTAGCAATTGTGAATGGGAGTTCACTCATGATTTGGCTGTTTATTTTTGATGTATAGGAATACTTGTGATTTTTGCACATTGATTTTGTATCCCGAGACTTTGCTGAAGTTGCTTATCAGCTTAAGGAGGCTTTGGTCTGAGATGATGGGTTTTTCTAAATATACAATCATGTCACCTGCAAACAGAGACAATTTGACTTCCTCTCTTCCTATTTGAATACCCTTTATTTCTTTCTCTTGCCTGATTGTCCTGGCCAGAAGTTCCAATACTATGTTGAATAGGAGTAGTGAGAGAGGGCATCCTTATCTCATGCTGGTTTTCAAAGGGAATGCTTCCGGTTTTTGTCAATTCAGTGCAATATTGGCTGTGGGTTTGTCATAAATAGTTCTTATTATTTTGATATGTTCCATCAATACCTCATTTGAGAGTTTTTAGCTCGAAGGCTGTTGAATTTTCTCGAAGGCCTTTTCTGCATCTATTGACATAATCATGTGGTTTTTGTCATTGGTTTTGTTTATGTGATGGGCTATGTTTACTGATTTGCGTATGTTGAACAAGCCTTGCATCCCAGGGATGAACCTGACTTGATCATGGTGGATAAGCTTTTTAATGTGCTCCTGGATTCAGTCTGCCAGTATTTTTTTGAGGATTTTTGCATTGATGTTCATCAGGAATGTTGGCCTGAAATTTTCTTTTTTTTGTTGTTGTGTCTCTGCCAGGTGTTGGTATCAGGATGATGTTGGCCTCATAAAATGAGTTAGGGAGGATTCCCTCTTTTTCTATTGTTTGGAATAGTTTCAGAAGGAATGGTACCAGCTCCTCCTTGTACCTCTGGTAGAATTCGGCTGTGAATTCGTCTGGTCCTGGAGTTTTTTTTTTTTTGGTTGGTAGGCTATTAATCGCTGCCTCAATTTCAGAATTTGTTATTGGTCTATTCAGGGATTCAACTTCTTTCTGGTTTAGTCTTGGGAGGGTGTATGTGTCCAGGAATTTATCCATTTCTTCTAGATTTTCTAGTTAATTTACATAGAGGTGTTTATAGTATTCTCTGATGGTAGTTTTTTTTGTTGTTGTTATTGAGACGGAGTCTCATTCTCACTCAGTTGCCCGGGCTGGAGTACAGTGGTTTGATCTTGGCTCACTGCAACTTCTGCCTCCCAGGTCAAGCGATTCTTCTGCCTCAACCTTCCTAGTAGCTGGCACTACAGGCGTAGGACACCATGTCCAGCTAATTTTTTTTATTTTTAATACAGAGGGGGTTTCTCCATGTTGGCCAATACGGTCTTGATCTCTTGACCTTGTGATTCACCTGCCTCGGTCTCCCAAAGTGCTGGGATTACAGGCGTGAGCCACCGTGCCCGGCCAGTAGTTTGTATTTCTGTGGGATCAGTGGTGATATCCCCTTTCTCATTTTTTATTGTGTCTATTTGATGCTTCTGTCTTTTCTTCTTTATTAGTCTGGCTAATGGTCTATTTTGTTAATCTTTTCAGAAAACCAGCTCCTGGATTCATTGATTTTTTTGAAGAGTTTTTCTTGTCTCTACCTCCTTCAGTTCTGCTCTGATCTTAGTTATCACTTGTCTTCTGCTAGCTTTTGGATTTGTTTGCTCTTGCTTCTCTAGTTATTTAAATTGTGATGTTAGGGTGTCGATTTTAGATTTTCCCACTTTCTCCTGTGGGCATTTAGTGCTATAAATTTCCCTCTAACCGCTGCATTAGCTGTGCCCCAGAGATTCTGGTATGTTGTGTCTTTGTTCTCATTGGTTTCAAATAACTTATTTATTTCTGCCTTAATACTGTTATTTACCCAGTAGTCATTCAGGAGCAGGCCCCTTTTTTTCAGTTTCCATGTAGTTGTGCAGTTTTGAGTGAGTTTCTTTTTTTTTTTTTTTTTTTTTTTGAGACGGAGTCTCGCTCTGTCCCCGGGCTAGAGTGCAGTGGCCGGATCTCAGCTCACTGCAAGCTCCGCCTCCCGGGTTCACACCATTCTCCTGCCTCAGCCTCCCGAGTAGCTGGGACTACAGGCGCCCGCCACGTTGCCCGGCTAGCTTTTTGTATTTTTTAGTAGAGACGGGGTTTCACCCTGTTAGCCAGGATGGTCTCGATCTCCTGACCTAGTGATCCGCCCGTCTCGGCCTCCCAAAGTGCTGGGATTACAGGCTTGAGCCACCGCGCCCGGCCTTGAGTGAGTTTCTTAATCGTGAGTTCTAATTTGACTGCACTGTGGTCTGAGAGACTGTTTGTTATGATTTCTGTTCTTTTGCATTTGCTGAGCAGTGTTTTACTTCCAATCATGAGGTCACTATTAGAATAAGTGTGATGTGGCGCTGAGAAGAATGTATATTCTGTTGATTTGGGGTGCAGAGTTCTGCAGATGTCTATTACGTTTGCTTGGTCCAGAGCTGAACTGAAGTCCTGAATATGCTTGTTAATTTTCTGTGTCACTGACCTGTCTAATATTGACAGTGGGGTGTTAAAGTCTCCCACTATTATTGTGTGGGAGTCTAAGTCTCTTTGTAGGTCTCTAAGGACTTTGCTTCATGAATCTGGGTGCTCCTGTATTGGGTGCATATATATTTAGGATAGTTAGCTCTTCTTGCTGCATTGGTCTCTTTATCATTATGTAATGCCCTTCTTTGTCTTTTTTTGATCTTTGTTGGTTTAAAGTCTGTTTTATCAGAGACTAGAATTGCAACCCTCTGTTTTTCTTTGTTTATTTTTTTTTTGTTTTTTGCTTTTCATTTGCTTGGTGAATCTTCCACCATCCCTTTATTTTGAGCCTATGCGTGTCTTTGTACATGAGATGAGTCTCCTGAATACAGCACACTGATGGGTTTTGACTCTTTATCCAATTTGCCAGTCTGTGTCTTTCAATTGGGGCATTTAGCCCATTTACATTTAAGGTTAACATTGTTATGTGTGGGCCAGGTGTGGTGACTCATGCCTGCAATCCTAGCACTTTGGGAGGCTGAGGCGGGCGGATCACCTGAGGTCAGGAGTTCGAGACCAGCGTGGCCAACATTGTGAAACTCCATCTCTACTAACAATACAAAAATTAGCCAGGCGTGGTGGCAGGCACCTGTAATCCCAGCTACTTAGGAGGCTGAGGTAGGAGAATTGCTTGAACCCAGGAAGTGGAGGTTGCAGTGAACCAAAATCGTGCCATTGCACTCCACCCTGGGGAACAAGAGCAAGACTTTGTTTAAAAAAAAAAAATTGTTATGTGTGAATTTGATCCTGTCATTATGATGCTAGCTGGTTATTTTGCCCATTAGTTGATGCAGTTTCTTCACAGTATCGATGGTTTTTACATTTTGGTATGTTTTTGCAGTGGCTGGTACCGGTTGTTCCTTTCCATATTTAGTGCTTCCTCAGGAGCTCTTGTAAGGCAGGCCTGGTGGTGACAAAACCTCTCAGCATTTGCTTGTCTGTGAAAGATTTTATTTCTCCTTCGCTTATGAAGCTTAGTTTGGCTGGATATGAAATTCTGGGTTGAAAACTCTTTTCTTTATGAATGTTGAATTTTGGCCTTCACTCTCTTCTAGCTTGTAGGGTTTCTGCAGAGAGATCTGCTGTTAGTCTGATGGGCTTCCCTTTGTGGGTAACCCGACCTTTCTCTCTGGCTGCCCTTAACATTTTTTTCTTCATTTCAACCTTGGTGAATCTGATGATCATGTGTCTTGGGGTTGCTCTTCGTGAGGAGCATCTTTGTGATGTTCTCTGCATTTCCTGAATTTGAATGCTGGCCTGTCTTGCTAGGTTGGGGAAGTTCTCCTGGATAATGTCCTGAAGAGTGTTTTCCAACTTGGTTCCATTCTCCCCGTCACTTTCAGGTACACCAATCAAACGTAGGTTTGGTCTTTTCACATAGTCCCATATTTCTTGGAGGCTTTGTTCATTCCTTTTCATTCTTTTTTTCCCTCAAATTTTGTCTTCAAGCTTTATTTCATTAAGTTGATCTTCAATCTCTGATACCCTTTCTTCTGCTTGATTGATTTGGCTATTGATACTTGTGTATGCTTCACGAAATTCTTGTGCTGTGTTTTTCAGCTCCATTAGGTCATTTATGTTCTTTTCTAAACTGGTTATTCTAGTTAGCAATTCCTGTAACCTTTTTTCAAGGTTCTTAGCTTCCTTCCATTGGGTTAAAATATGTTCCTTTAGCTCGGAGAAGTTTGTTATTACCCACCTTCTGAAGCCTACTTCTATGCATTCATCAAACTCATTCTCCATCCAGTTTTGTTCCCTTGCTGGCGAGGAGTTGTGATCCTTTGAAGAAGAGGCATTCTGGCTTTTGGAATTTTCAGCTTTTTGCACTGGTTGTTCCTCATCTTCATGGATTTATCTACCTTTGGTCTTTGCTGTTGGTGACCTTTAGATTGGGTTTTTGTGTGGACGTCCTTTTTGTTGATGTTGATGCTATTCCTTTCTGTTTGTTAGTTTTCCTTCTGACAGGCTCCTCTGCTGCAGGTGTGCTGGAGTTTGATGAGGTCCACTCCAGACCCTGTTTGCCTGGGTATCACCGGTGGAGGCTCAGAACAGCAAAGATTGCTGCCTATTCCTTCCTCCAAAAGTTTTGTCCCAGAGGGGCACCCGCCAGATGCTAGCCAGAGGTCTCCTGTATGAGGTGTCTTTGGCCCCTACTGGGAGGTATCTCCCAGTTAGGAGTTACGGGGGTCAGGGACCCACTTGAAAAAGCAGTCTGTCCCTTAGCAGAGCTCGAATGCTGTGCTGGGAGATCTGGTGCTCTCTTCAGAGATGGCAGATAGGAATGTTTAAGTTTGCTGAAGCAGTGACCACAGCTGCCCCTTCCCCCAGGTTCTCTGTCCCAGGGAGATGGGAGTTTTACCTATAAGCCCCTGATTGTGGCTGCTGCCTTTCTTTCAGAGATGCCCTGTCCAGAGAGGAGGAACCTAGAGAAGCAGTCTGGCTACAGCAGCTTTGCTGACCTATGGTGGGATCCACCCAGTTGGACCTTCCAGGTGGCTTTGTTTACACTGTGAGGTGAAAACTGCCTACTCAAGTCAGTAATGGCAGGTGCCCCTCCCCCTACGAAGTTTGAGCATCCCAGGTCGACTTCAGACGGCTGTGCTGGCAGCGAGAATTTCCAGCCAATGGATCTTAGCTTTCTGGGTTCTGTGGGAGTGGGATCCGCTGGAGCTAGACCACTTGGCTCCCTGGCTTTAGCCCCCTTTTCCGGGGAGTGAATGGTTCTGTCTCACTGGTGTTCCAGGCACCACTGGGGTATGAAAAAAACTCCTGTAGCTAGCTCAGTGTCTGCCCAAACAGCTGCCCAGTTTTGTACTTGAAATCCAAGGGAATCTTGGTGGTGTAGGCACCCAGGGGAATCTCCTAGTCTGTGCATTGTGAAGATCATGAGAAAAGCATAGTGTCTGGGCCAGAATGCACTGTTCCTCACAGCACAGTCCCTCACAGCTTCCCTTGGCTAAGGGAGGGAGTTCCCCGACTCCTTGTGCTTCCTGGGTGAGGTGATGCCCCACCCTGCTTCATTTTGCCCTCCGTGGGCTGCACCCATTGTCTAACCAGTCCCAATGAGGTGAACCAGGTACCTCAGTTGGAAATGCAGAAATCACCTGCCTTCTGTGTTGATCTCGCTGGGAACTGCAGACCAGAGTTGTTCCTATTCGGCCATCTTGCCAGTCCTTTACCCCCAAACATACTCTTCATTTCTTTTGAGACAGAATCTTGCTCTGTCACCCAGGCTGGAGTGCGAGGTGCGATTTTGGCTCACTGCAACCTCTGCCTCCCAGGTTCAAGCAATTCTTATGCCTCAGTCTCCCAAGTAGCTGGGTTTACAAGTGCATTTCACCACACCTGGCTAATTTTTTGTATTTTTAGTAGAGACAGGGTTTCACCATGTTGGCCAGGCTGGCCTCGAACTCCTAGTCTCAAGTGATCTGCCTGCCTTGGCCTCCCAAAGTGCTGGGATTACAGGTGTGGAGCCACCACACCCAGCCTACTCTTCATTTCTTCTCCTTGTAGCTCCCACACATGTGCAAACAAGTCCCAGGATGCCAAGGGCACTCTATGGGACACTTTGGATATTAAAAGGTCCCCAGTGAAACAGTGACATCTATTGGGCACTGTGCAAACTTCTAGTTGGCAATAGTTCACAGTTTGAATACTGTGTTCCTTTCAATAATGCCGTATCTTTGCAAAGCTGGGTGTTCAGTGGTTGCTGTGATGAAAAAGCAGGAACCACATACATATTCATGTGAACAGGAAATGAGGGTAGCAGTGCCCTTTTTGATTCTGAGATTTGAGGATCTATGCAGTTTCCATCAGGCATATGCATTCCATGATTAAATAATTGTGGTTACTTAACATAATAAAATATTTTTATTCCAATTTATGTGCATTATTTTAAAAACAGCATATTTTTAAAATAATCATAAATATTATTAAAGTGTTTGGAACTAACTACTTAATAAATGGAACTGTGAGGTATTTCTTTTGGCTTAGGAGTGTCAAGGGGTGGAGAAAGTTTGGGAACCTTTGCTTTGTCAAAACGGAAATGGATTTTTTTTTTGGTTACTAAAGTAATATGTGCTCATTATAAAAGAATTAGCCAACAAAAATTTGAGGAGAAAATCTTCCATAACCCCATCACTAATTAATGTTAAAATTTTCATGTATAGTCTTACATATAATTTAAAAAATCATCTGTGTCTATGTTTTAAGGCTTTTTCTTTTTACTTTCTTGTCAATGAATTTGTCAAATTTCTTCGACAAATTGTAACCTTCTTTTGGCAGAATTGAGAGCAAAAAATTTCTTTCATCCACTTCAAAATCCCTTACAGAAATAAGTAAATGCAGTCGTAGAAGCTGAATAGGTCATTGACCCAAGGTGACTTACCGCAAAGAACTCTAAAGGAATAGGCGCCGGCAATTTCTCTTTAAATCTCTCATTAAACTCCTTGCCACCCAACAGCAAACCAAAAACCATCAGCCCGACGCCTAGGGAACACACGTTGAGGTTTTTAACATTCTGCAACACAGCAACTGTACTCTGTAACACAGTGAACGCTGGATGTTTACATCAAGAAATTGCCCCTGAGAGAGACAGAGACTGTCTAGTGCACTAATTCACATCAGCCATTCCACTGGGTATTTCTAGTTAAAAGTTCTCAGGCTGAAATCTCTCTTTGTAGCTTCCACCAATTAGGAGGTATTTTTACCCAGTCTACAACTTTACAGTTGTTACTCTTTTTTTTTTTTTAATAGTTGTTATTCTTTTTTTTTTTTTTTTGGAGACACAGTCTTGCTCTGCTGCCCAGGCTGGAGTGCAGTGGCATGATTTTGGCTCACTGCAACCTCTGCCTCCCAAGTTCAAGTGATTCTCCTGCCTCAGCCTCCTGAGTAGCTGGGATTATCGGTGCCTGCTGCCACGCCCAGTTAATTTTTGTATTTTTAGTAGACATGGGGTTTCAACATGTTGGTCAGGCTGGTCTCAAACTCCTGACCTCAAGTCATCCGCCCACCTCGGCCTCCCAAAGTGCTGGGATTACAGGTGTGAGCCACTGCACCCAGCCTTATAGTTATTCCTATCAAACAATTATTCTTATCATATGCTGATGTCTCAATGTAATATTATAAAATTCAGAAAAGAAACCCTGAAGCTGAGTCCTGAGCACTTGGAAAGAATTAAGGGTTGATAGCAAAGTACTCCAAAGGTAAATACATAGAAAAGCTTTTAGGAGCTCAAAGAAGGAGAAAGTACTGTTAGCAGGACTTTGAAGTCAAGAGTGCTGATGTCTGGGAAAGGAACCCAGGAGAACTAGAGAAGAAATCCACTTAATTATATCCCAGGGTTACCAACCGGGCACCTCAAATATAGTCAATTCTCATTTGAAACCCAATAAAGTAGACTTCCTGCTCAGCCCAGGCCATGCACCCTTTCCTACCGATGCCTAGAGTACTCAGTATGTTTATTTCCTTTGTGACAAGGCATTTCGAGAAGTCTCAGAGTAAGAAGTACGGTAACAGCTATTATGGGAGACTAAGAATTTTGTTATTTAGAGAATATTCCTAAAGTCTGATTCCATTTTAACCAGTCAATGACTCAATCTTTTTTTTTTTTTTTTTTTTTTTTGAGACGGAGTCTGGCTCTGTTGCCCAGGCTGGAGTGCAGTGGCTGGATCTCAGCTCACTGCAAGCCCCGCCTCCCGGGTTCACGCCATTCTCCTGCCTCAGCCTCCCGAGTAGCTGGGAGTACAGGCGCCCGCCACCTCGCCCGGCTAATTTTTTTTTGTATTTTAGTAGAGACGGGGTTTCACCGTGTTAGCCAGGATGGTCTCGATCTCCTGAACTCGTGATCCGCCCGTCTCGGCCTCCCAAAGTGCTGGGATTACAGGCTTGAGCCACCGCGCCCGGCCAATGACTCAATCTAAATGTCACTTCCTCAAAGTGCCTTTCCTAGACCCCTAATCTCAAGGTCTCCCTATTTAACTTTCAGAGCAGCTGGTACTTCTCCTTCATAGCACGCAACACAAATTGTAATTGATTACACATGTATGCAATTAAAGGTTTACTATCTTCCCACTGGACTGAAAGTTCCAGAGGGAAAGGCCTGTATCTTCTCAGCTCACAGCTGCATCTTGGCACCCAGTGCCTAGCACATAAATACCTACAAAGACTACAGGCCTCTTTCCAAGGACAGCTTTAACAGCATCTCAGAGGTTTTGATATGTAGTACTTCTATCAATTAATGCTCATTATTTCCTAATTCCCTCTTTATTCATGGGTCATTTAGAAATGTTTTTTGGTTTCTAAATATGTGGGAGTTTTAAAGCTATGTTTAGTTTTTGATTTTTAATTATATTGCACTGTGTGAAAAAACATTGAATTTTTAGAATTGGTGATCAGTTTCACATGATCAATTTCAACATGATCAGTTAGTACCATTGTTCCTTAAGTGCTTGCAAATAATTTATATTTTCTCTGAGTTTGGTAAGGGGTCTATGTAACTAAAAGATTTATGTTAGTTAAATCTTTTACAGCCTTATTTTTTTTTGCCGGTTTGAATTAGCAGTTGGTTTTTTTTTGAGACGGAGTCTCACTCTGTCGCCCAGGATGGAGTGCAGTGGCACGATCTCGGCTCACTACAAGCTCCGCCTCCTAGGTTCATGCCATTCTCCTGCCTCAGCCTCCTGAGTAGCTGGGACCACAGGCGCCTGCCATAACACCAGCTAATTTTTTTGTATTTTTAGTAGTGATGGGGTTTCACCGTGTTAGCCAGGATGGTCTCGATCTCCTGACCTCGTGATCTGCCCATCTTGGCCTCCCAAAGTGCTGGGATTACAGGCGTGAGCCACCCCGCCCGGCCTGAATTAGCAGTTTTTGAGAGAGAGAGAGATGTTCTCCCCTCATGTCTTTAAATTATTTGTTAGTTTCCAAAAAGACTATGATTTGGTTGTAAGAAAAAGCTCTCTCTTCACCTAATTAGAGTGATGGTGTAGTCACCAAATAAAGACCTAGCGAAAAATTCCTTGTGAAGTGGGCAGTATCACATATTAATAATAGAGATTTTAAGGTTTAGTCCTCTTTGTAACACTCTTTTCAGAAAACCTTAGAATAAATGAATTTTTCCTTTTTTATGGAAATTACTGGAGAAAAAGAAAAATTAGTCTTGAAAGTAAAAAGAGATACAGAAGAGAAGTGGGGGAAATAAAGAAGAAAAAACAAGTACCAGAATGTCTGGGAGTTGCTTACTTACATACACCACTGAAAAGATTCCACTGTACCGCTTTGTTTTAACTCCAAACAGATATTTTAACATGGAGGTGAAGACATGCACAGCTGCTGCAGTGGTAAACCCACGGACCAGAGGCTCTGTGAGATATATGGCCACAAATCCAAACCTACAGACACCTAGGCAAAACTATTTTTTTTTAATGACAAAGAAACAAATGAATCATATGATAGGTCAGGAAGTTAAGACCCACAGCAAATATACAAGTTCTTTCTTGACCATTTTCTTTTTTTTTTTTTTGAGATGGAGTCTCGCTGTGTCACCCAGGCAGTGGCACGGTCTCGGCTCACTGCAACCTCCGCCTCCCGGGTTCAAGTGATTCTCCTGCCTCAGGCTCCTGAGTAGCTGGGACTACAGGTGCATGCCCACCACACCCAGCTAATTTTTGTATTTTTAGTAGAGACGGGGTTTCACTATGTTGGCCAGGCTGGTCTTGAACTCCTGACCTTGTGATCCACCTGCCTCAGCCTCTCAAAGTGCTGGGATTAAAGGTGTGAGCCACTGCGCCCAGCCTCTGGACCATTTTCTAATACTGCAAACTTGTACATGAAGTGGGTAAGTAGCTAACAAATCAATCACTGGTTATACAGAAAACAGAGGAAAGTCTGGAGTGGCTTGGTGTCCCACAGTGCACTGGCCACACTAATGCCTTCCCTGTCTCTCATGGAGCTGGGGGCATGCTTCATCATGTAGACTAAAGTGCATGCTCATGATCATTGGCTGTTCCCTCCAAGCAGAGAGGAATATCCTCTCCCAGCACTAATCAATCCTGCTGTGTCAAACTTGTCTTGCTTTTGGGATCTTTAAAGCATCCACCTGAAGCTTGCTTGCTGGTCACTCATAGTTGTGAATAAGGCATGCAGTTGGTCTGCAGTTACTCCCGGAGCTTTGGGGTTTCTCCAGCAGACCCCGCCCACCGTGTAGGAAGACCAGCTAAGAGCTCTCAATAGATACCTGTTAGGTTAACAAATGAGACAGTCCATTTCCCCATCTTTGAGCCTTACCTGAATGATTCCTGAAAGTAAGGTCACAGACATGGCGACTTTCACTCTCAAGGCATCTCTGGCCTCTGTGCCATTGGTTGCATTTACTCCTCCTGGAATGACTATATCATCTGGTACTAATCGAACAGCCACACCACCAATCATCAGGCTAATAACAGCAAAAGGACCTGAAATAATGAAGCATGAAGATCCCTGTTCAGGGTTCAAGGACACTATCTAATTCAGAGTATCTGATAGGGTTTTTGCCAGTACACCAAGAGACAAAGTTGAGGTCAAGAAGTCATGCTTGAAAGAAGGCTATGCTCCCTTCTTTAGTGTCCTGCCTCTGGTGTGTGAGCAACCGTGTGTGTGTGCATGCGCATGTGTGTGCATGCAGACTGTATTTTCCAAAAATAGACATAGCAATATCTTCCATCCACCTACTCTTCTTGATATTTCCCCATCAAGAGGTGAAGTCTAATTTCTCCTTGAATCTGGGTTGGCTTTGACTTGTTAGTAAACAAAAGAATGCAGCAGAAGTGAAGCTGTGTGACTTCCGAGACTTGGTAATAAAAGGGCTGCAACTTCCACCTTCTGCTGAAGCCAAGTCACCATGTGTAAGAAAGCTCCAACTAGGCCAAGTGGAGAATTCCTGGGACTGCATGGAGAAAGGAAGGCAGGGAAGAGGGAAGAGGGGGAGGAAAAAGGGAGAGAGGAAGAATTATCCAGACCAGGCCTTCCCAAGTCCTGACCTGTAGGCACTATGGAAGATACAAACATGATTGTTGTTGTAAAGCTGCTACATTTTGAGGGTATTTGTTACCAAACAGTAGATATCTGGAAAGTGTGTGTGTGCTAGGTGGTAGCCTTATGCAATACCAGGACTATTATGAAATCCATATGCCTCTGATAAACTGAAAATATGTACAATTCAGAGCCCCAAATACGACAAAAATGAAATACGTGAAGAGCGATTAGGAACTTGAAATACTACCATTAGTATAAAAATAAAAACCAGATGCTGGCAAATTACATTATGAAATGAAGCATTTATCTCATTTCACAGATTTCAACAATTGCCCTTTTACACAAGAAAATTGTCTTTTTTATTATTCCAAGATTATAAGAAAGTTGTAAGTTCTAGAAATCTTGGGAGGCGTGTAGTTTTTTTTTTTTTTTTTGAGACGGAGTCTTGTTCTGTTGCCCAGGCTGGAGTGCAGTGGTGCGATCTCAGCTCACTGCAACCTCTGCCTCCCGGGTTGAAGCAATTCTCCTGCCTCAGCCTCCCGAGCACCTGGGATTACAGGCACCCGTCACCAAGCCTGGCTAATTTTTATATTTTTACAAAGAGATGGGGTTTCACCATGTTGGTCTGGCTGGTCTCAAACTTCTGACCTCAGGCAATCTGCCCGCCTCGGCCTCCCAGAGTGCAGGGATTACAGGGGTGAGCCACCACACCTGGCCGAGTGTAGGTTTTTAAAGCACCTGTCGTGCATGCAGTAACAAAAGTTGTTATTAAGACAATTTTTAATAATGACCATGCTATTTCCTTGGCACATTGCAAAGGCTGGAAATACACAAGGGAAGGTAGTAGAATATCAAGTATAAGCTTTTACCTATTGATATGTGTCTGGAGGTTCCAAAAAAACAATACATGATAACAGGATAAAATGAAGAGTACAAGCCGAATATCGGAGGCACAGCTGCCAGCATTGCAAAGGCTAAGCCTGTGGGATTAAAAACCGAACAGAAATGGGAGATCATTAGAAGACAGAGGGGTTACATGTGTTTTTCTCTTGGTTCTTTATTTCTGATGAACGAGTGAAGCCCATCTTAATTTAAGCTGCAACCTACCCTACCCCAATCCTGCACATCATCTTACCTTGGTGCTGACAGAGTCCAGGTTGAGACAGTTTCCATTGTCATCTCCTTTTTGCCAGTGGGTGATTTTTTTTTTCTGCTTTATTCTTTCACAAATTAGATAAAAGCAGAAAAAAGTCTTATCTTAGTGGGTGCCATCGTAATTTGGTGTTGATGCACAAATGCGAGCCTTTCTCCAATGGGGTGATTTTGTGGGTTCTCTGGAGACCCCTTTGCAATAAAGGACTCCCAGTTACTATGCCCTAACTATGTAATGCTCCTTCCTCCTGACTCTTAGATATCCTCCCTCCAACTCTTATCAGAAGGTACGGCTTTCCAGGTAATTTCGGCTGGCGTATGCTCATCCTGTAGGCAGTCTTCTTGGGCAGGTACCTATCAAATGAGCCAAGCCTCGTTACCTTTCAGGATGCCCAGTTATCCAATGGGAAAGCTTGGCATTTAACTCCCAAGAAACTTTGGAAGTGCAGGTCACACCCTCTGGAGGACTCTTTCCCTCACTCTGCTGTCCTAGGCAGTTCACATCATCCTTGACACATTTTTTTTTAAAATAGACTTTTTAGAGCAGTTTAGGTTCACAGCAAATTGAGCAAAAGATACAGAGGTTTTCCATATATCCCGTGCCCTTATGTATGCACAGCCTCCCCCACTATCAACATCCCCCTCCAGAGGGGCACATCTGTTACGAGTGATGAACCCACACTGACCTATCATTATCACCCAAAGTCCACAGTTTACATTAGGTTTACTCTTGGTGTGGTACAATCTATGCAAATGTACAATGACAGGTAGCCACCATGATAGTATGATATAAAGTAGTTTCACTGGTTAGAAATTCTCTGTGGCCTATTCATCCTTCCCTCCCCCCATCCCCTGGAAACTAATGATCTTTTTACTGTCTTTTTAAAGACAGTCTTGCTCTGTCACCCAGGCTGGTGTGCGGGGGCATGTTCACGGCTCACTGTAGCCACAACCTCCCAGTCTCAAGCAATCCTCCCACCTCAGCCTCCCTAGTAGTTGAGACTACAGGTGTGCACCATCACACCTGGCTAATTTCTGTAGAGACCGAGTTTCCCCATGTTTTCCAGGCTGGTCTTGAACTCCTAGGCTCAGGCAATGTGCCCACCTCAGCCTCCCAAAGTGCTGGGATTACAGGCATGAGTCACTGTGCCTGGTCAGTTTGGCCTTCTTTAGAATGTCGTTCAATTGGGATCATACAGTATTAAGCTACATCAGGTTGACTTCTTTCACGAAGTAATATGCATTTAAGGTTCCTTTATGTCTTTTCATGGCTTGATAGCTCATTCCTTTTTAACACTGACTATTTCATTGTTTGGATGTACCACAGTTTACCCATTCATCTACTGAAGGCCATCTTGATTGCTTCCAAGGTTTGGCAATTATGAATAAAGCTGCTATAAACATCCACGTGCAGGTTCACTTGAAAGTTTTTTAAAAACTTTATTTTTTAGAGCAGCCGGACTTTTTCATGCAAGAATTAGGCAGCAGTCTCCACAAACTCCAGGGGTGGGGCTCAGCGCTCTGAGTAGCTTTCTTGCAGTCCTTCCTTACTTGACTATAGGTGGAGGGGAAATGGATAGGGTTTTAACCTCTCCCTGGAAAATTCTCATTCCAAGTCAGTCTTCTCGTTCCCTCATATATTCTGTTAAAAGTGACACACTCAAGAGAGCCTGGGTCATTCATTCATAGTTCGGGATAGATTGACTGGCATCCCTCTTCCAAATGTATAGGCAATAAGCACTCTTTGTTCTCAGCTTTGGGGGCTCAGCCAAATTTCTGGGACAACTAAAAAACTCATTTAATGCACTGTTACGCTGTGGAGGAGACAGCTTTAGCAAAACAAGAGTTGGGAAAGCGTCCTAACTTCATATATAATAACACGGTCACTTGAATGTTGTTAACAAAATTTATTTCTAGCAAAGAAATGCATGCATACGATTTAAAAAGCCAAGCAGCAAAGGCTCTCTGGAAAAGCCAGCTCTTTTCTGTTTACCCCTCTTCCTCCAGGTTTTGCTCCTCAGAGCCAATGACTTCCAACTCGTGGAGCTGTTTTTCTCTATTTACCTCCATTTTCCTAAATCAGCATTCTCAAAGGAGAGTGCTCCCCCACCCCCACTTCTGGCAGGAGACATTTGGGGATGTCTGGAGACATTTTTGATTATGATGATGGGGGAGGGGGTGAGTATTACTGGCATCTAGTGGGTGAGGGCCAGGGGTACTGCTAAACACCCTACACTGCACAAGACAGGCCCCCAAAAACAAACAGGGTAAATGGCATGAAGTTGAGAAACACTGTTCTAAATATGTTTGTATCATGATTTCTCAATTTATCCATTTTAGATGCAAACTTAATTTTCCATTATGTTTACTTTTTCAGCTTTTCATTATGTGACTTTTTTTCTTTCTAGTTTGAGATCCTCTATTGATTCCTGGTATTCTATATTTTACTATGGTGTGCCTTGTTTTATTTTTCATTTATTCTGCTGGGTATTTTATGATTCCTCTCAGTCTGAAAACACATGTATTTCAGCCCTGGGGATTACTCTTTGATCATTTCTTCCTTCTGTTTACTCTCTTCTTTCTTTCTGGAAGTCCTATTAGATGTATGATGGGACATCAGGCTTGATCCTCTGGTCTTCTTATGTTTTCTCTCTTACTGTCTTTTTCTTCTACTTCCAGATTTCCTCTACTTTATCTTCCAACCCTGACTAAATATTTATTCCAGCTATCACATTTTTGATTTCTATGAGCTCTTTCTTGTTCTCTGAATGCTCTTTTCAAAATAGCATCCTGTTTTTGTTTCAGAGACTCGATGTGTTTTTGTTAGGATACTATAAAGTTTTTTATTTTGCCCTGTTATTTCTGTTCCTTATGAATTCTTTTTTGAATGATTTGGTCTCTTTCTTGAAGCTTCATGTGTATTGGCTCTCTGTTTACTGATGGGCCTTATTGTAGGAAAACTGGGTGGCCAGCCAGCATCTTTACTGGGGGACCTCTATTTGTCACTATGGGTCTTTTATAGGTCACCATCTGCTTTGGGCTATACGATTTTTTGCAGGCACTTTGAAGCAAACAAAGTAGAGCAAGGGAACAGACTTTGTTGACTCACAGTTCAGTGTGCAGACTTTTAGGTACCTTTCCTGACATCTCTTGGTATTTTTATCCTACCATCCACTGCATCATGTAGATGTGGGGACCTGAGTGTATTGATGCTACTGATTGCAAAGATTTTGAACTAGTTCCCTTGCTTTTAGCCTTCTGCCTGACTTACAGCTTTCACAATACTTGGAGCCTCCAATTTCCCAGTGTTTTGTAGTGTACGTACCTACATTTAAGCTTCTCTACTCTAATGATTCAGCTGCCACTTGTCCATCTGCTTGCCATATATACATTTCTCCTGTTCCACTGTGTCTGCTCTCTCATGCTCTTCCTCCTTGCTAGCTTATACCATTTCCCCTTTCATTGTCATTTTAGAGGAATTTTTAAGACAATTCGAGATAAGAGCATACTTTCACTCTGACATGCTTAACACAAAATTTTTTTGGTAATTTAAATTATTTATCAATCACAAGAAATGTATTTACTTCCTTTTAGACCTCTATCTTTGCTATATTGTTTTTCATACTTATCTATCTTCATTAATAATGAGCAGAAAAATACCTTTCCAATGCAAATTTGATTGTGGGATGATCTGTGTATCTCAGCAGTGTTCCACCTACTGAATCATTCCCTGATTTGAAATAATTTCTTCCTTTCTGTAATAATATACACTCCTAGTTTTCCTTTCCAGATACTTTTCTATTTCTTCTGCTGTTTCCTCCTTCTGTATTGGGTCTTTAATGTTGGACAGAGCTTGATCTTAGCTCCCTTCTCTTTTCACTCCACATTCTCTCCCTAGGTGCCGTGGTCTATTGCCATGGTTTAAATGCTTTCTATAGGTCAAAGATTCCACACTTGATATCTCTAGCCCCTCCCTCTCTTTTGGGCTCATCATATATTAAATACAAACATGAAATATCTACTTGTCTATCTCATAAGCATCTCAAATTTAACATAATCAGACTTACTCTTCAATCCTATTCCTGTCATCTTTTTTATTATTTTTTATGTTTTGAGATGGAGTTTTGCCCTTGACACCCAAGCTGGAGTGCACTGGCACAATCTCAGCTCACTGCAACCTCCGTCTCCCAGGTTCAAGCGATTCTCCTGCCTCAGCCTCCCAAGTAGCTGGGACTACAGGTGTGTGCCACTATGCCTGACTTATTTTGTATTTTTAGTAGAGATGGGGTTTCACCATGTTGGTCAGTCTTGAACCCCTGACCTCAGGTTATCCACCCACCTCGGCCTCCCAGTGTTGGGATTACAGGCATGAGCCACCATACCCAGTCCTGTCATCTTTATTATGTCTGCAATTGACACCTCCATCCCTCAGGTATTTGAAACCGCAACCTGGAAGTCATTCTTGACCATCCCTCTTCTTCACCATCTCCACACATCCAACCCATAAGCCCAGTTGTCTTAAAGTTATTGTTGACACGCCCTCCTCCTTCTTTCTAAGTTAATCCAGCAGCCAGTTTTGCTGATCTCACCTACAAAATATATGTCTTTCCAATTCTTTCCATTCTTACAGCCAGCATTCTAGTTCGAGATGGAAGAAGGTCAGCTGGTTGAAGATAAGTTTGCAGAATGACGGTGAAAATTCAACTAGGCAGAATCCTGAGGAGTTCTTCGAGTGTGAGCTTGCGTGGCTGCCGGCAGACATTACTGCAGCTCCGTCAGTCCAGCTTGACTGAATGTCAGTTTGACTTCTGCTTCCTGTTTTGGATACTGAGCCCTTATCTGCTTCTCACCCTGCCCTTGCCTCTGCCTTTGAATCTGTCCATTTATCTATTCTTGGGGTGATGGCACCAAAATGATTGTGGGAATCTGTCCCAAATCTGCAATATTTTGTATAACAGATTTAATAAATATGGTAAATCAGTCACTTGGAAAATTAAAAACAAAGCCAATTGCTCATTAGGGGAAGTGATTTTTTTTGACAATTTTTTGGAAACTGGCTACAAGGGAATTGATTTTTGGACAGCTGACCTAGAGGTGTTCAAGCCATTATCACCTTTGCCTACCATGAGCTGCTGTCACCTCTACCTGGTCTCCTCACATCCATTCTGGTACCCCTCCCACTACCCAAATCCATTCCCCCCACGGCAGTCTTCAGTGACCTCTTACAGAGTGATATGGTTTGGCTGTGTCCCTACCCAAATCTCTTCTTGAATTGTAGCTCCCATAATTCCCATGTGTTGTGAGAGGGACCCAGTGGGAGGTAACTGAATCATGGGGGTGGGTCTTTCCCTTGCCGTTCTCATGATAGTAAGTCTCACGAGACCTGATTATTTTATAAAGGGCAGTTCCCTACACAAGCTTTCTCTTGCCTGCCACCATGTAAGATGTGACTTTGCTCATTTGCCCTCTGCCATGATTGTGAGGCCTCCCCAGCCACATGGAACTGTGAGTTCATTAAACCTCTTTTTCTTTATAAATTGCCAAGTCTCAGGTATGTTTTTATTAGCAGTGTGAGAAGACTTATGCACAAAGAAAACCTAAATAAAAAGTAATGCTGATAGCTTTTCACTGCACTCAGAATGAAACCCAAAAATGGCCTAAGAAGACTCTGCAGGCCTGCCTGTGCCCACCTCACCTGCCACTGCCCCCTGCTCCCTCACACTCCTAGAACAATGCTTTTCCATTCATTCTTTGTCCCACACCCAGTTCTTTTCCTGCTCAGTGCCTTCACACATGCTATTCCTTCTGCCTGAAATGCATTTTCTCTTATTCTTGACCTGAGTCAGGTCTCAGCTCAAACCTCATTTCCTGGATCCACTATTCTTTTTTTTTTTCCCAATGGAGTCTTGCTCTGTTGCCCAGGCTGGAGTATAGTAGCACAATCTCAGCTTACTGCAACCTCTACCTCCCAGGTTCAAGCAATTCTCCTGCCTCAGCCTCCTGAGTAGCTGAGACTATAGGCACATGCCACCATGCACAGCTAATTTTTATATTTTTAGTACAGATGGGGTTTCACCATGTTGGCCAGACTGATCTTGAACTCCTTACCTCGGGTGATCCACCCACCTCAGCCTTCCAAAGTGCTGGGATTACAGGCGTGAGCCACCACAGCCAGCCCTAGATCCACTATTTTTATTTCACAATACCTTATCTTTTCCTTCATTGTGCTTATCATTGTAATTAAAATTTTTCTATGTGCTTTTTTCTGCTTAGCATCTCATGCCTTGATTGGATGGTTAGTGAGCTCCATGAGGACAGTGAGCCAGGTAGGTGCCTAATAAACATGTACTATTTAGAATACATGAATAAATTAATGAATAAGTTAATGAATATTTTCTTAAGTTCTTATATGACATATAAAATCACAGGGTTGCTGCAATATACTACAGGAATTTAGCATATCATGGTCCCTTGTAATTAGAATATGGACTCAGAAGCCACAAACCTTCAAAACAACCATAACAACAAAATGTTTCTTGAGTGACTGACTTAGCAAGTGGCAAGATAATGCCCAACCAATGTACTGATCTGCAAAACAGTATCACCATTTTCTACTATTAATATCCCTGGAGCTTTCTTTTGGAGACAGGGTCTCACTCTGTCTCCCAGGCTGGAGTGAAGTAGTATGATCAGAGCTCCTCACAGCCTTGAACTTCAGGGCTCAAATGCTCCTCCTGTGTCAGCCTCTAAAGTAGCTGAGACTACAGGCATGCCCAGCTGTGTTTTTTGTTTTTGTTTGTTTTTTCAAAGGTAGAGACAGTGTCTCACTTTGTTGCCCAGGCTGTTCTCCAACTCCCAGTCTCAAGTGATCCTCCTACCTTGGCCTTCCAAAGTGCTGAGATTATAGGTTTAAGGATTACATGTTTCTGAAGAATACCTTTAGACAGGTAAAGGTTACTAGAAAGATATGATAAAAATTATGAATTTGCAATCATGATGAAATAAACAGAAGGTCAAGCATTTGTTTGAGGACAGCGAGGGGGGAAAGAAAGATCTACTAACCTTGAGGAAGCTGAAGCACCCCTGTGCTTATGCCTGAGACCAAGTCACCCAACACATATTCCTTGAATTTGTATGCTGGCAGCCATTTAGTTATGGGTAGGAACATATAAATGATATTTCTTATTTTTTTAGGAGTACATCTGAAAGGACAAAGACAGACAGAGATAAAGTTATAAATGAGAAACATCTCTGTAGAATTCAAACCAAAGCACTTTCCATTCCTTATTCCCAGGAGCAATCTGGAAAAATTTCCACTTGGTGATTCAGGATGTTGCCAGACAGGGTAGGAGTCAGGGGTGGGGAAAAAAAGAGAGTGGCTGGAATATTCCTGGGACACAAAAGGTATTTTGAAGGTGGGTGGAGAATTAGAAAGCGTGCTGGTTATGTTAACATTTACACAGACAAAAGGCATAGTAGGAATTCAATAAATATGGTGAAATTCATGATGAAGCCTGTGTACAGATATCTAACACTGACTGAACCTCGTGAACAGCTTTGCAAACCATGATGGCTCAGCATTCATTTTTTTCTCCACTTCACCAAACAGATTTTCTTTACACATTTGACCTTGCGCCTCTCATAACTAAATGATACAATAACAGAAACAGGTTAAAATGCAACATACGTGAATGCCTGTTTCAGCTTATCCGCAATGGAATCTGGAACCTTGTCCTTAGTGTGTAGTCTTTCCTGGAGGACCGGATGACTAAAGATAGGCCTTTCCACATAGTACCTCTGGGTTGCTGCAAGGATTTCATTTTCTTCAGCATGATCCATAGTACTCTGAAATCATTCATTAATAGCAGGAGACAAGCATTTCCTGAGTGTTACTAGGGGAAAAAAGAAAAAATCCATTTTACATGCCAAAATCCTACTGATGACTTTTCCTAAGCATCTCTTCTTTGTGGTGTTCCAAGCTCTTCTGAGGCTTTCTTTGGACACCCCAGAGGACCTAATGGATTGATCTGTATATAGGAGGCAGTAATTAATGAAATCAAAATCAATAAAAAAAATAAACGTGACTTATTCCCTCCCAGGGCAATAAATGGTTAATGTGTGTACTTTTAACAAAAGCTCATATTAAGTGCAATGGCTAAATACTACAGTCAGTTGCCTCTAGGTCCATATAAGAGGAATTGCAAATCAGGTCAATTTTGACCAGCTATATGTCAAGGAAACAGAAAAAAAGTGTACGATCAGTCCTTAAATTGACTCAATGTTTCTTAAAGCTATATTAGCCTCTCTTCCAATTCTATATTTATGGTTGATTACTCTTTAAATTATTCCATGGTTCAGGGCTGAGGCTTATATGTCTGTTTGAGGGAAGTTGCTGGTGACCTTTGTGAAAGGCAATAAGTTAAAACATCAGCACACTATTCTAACATTGTTTTGAAGTTGATTACATTGTCATGTTTTTGATTATTAGAATGACTGATAGTTTTTTTCATTGCTACATAGTGATACTACTTATATGAGTAAAAGAAATGATTAAAGAATAAAAATACAACATATTTGTGCATATGGAGATGTGTACAAGAATTCTGCAGCCTTATAACAGTGAAACATTGGAAAAAATCTAAATGTCTACTTGTATGTAGTAAAAAATACATTTTGGTATATTCATAAATTTAATTCTATATAGTAATTAAAAGAAACACACTACATCTATATGTGTCATCAACAAATCTCAGAGACAATGTTCAACAAAAATGTAAGGCACAGATGAATACTGAGAGGATTCAATTATTTAAAGTTTAAAAACAAAATAATAGTATATGTTATTACATATATTTGTAGTAAAAGTATAAAACCACTCTTGACAACAATAAACACTGAGATCAGGTTGGTTTTACCTCTAGAGAGAGGGAAATGAGACTAAGAAGGGATAGTAGAGGACTTCTACTAACTGTATCTGCAATGTTTTAGTTTGTAAAAAAAGAACTGGCACAAAGACAGCAAAATATGAAGATTTTATTATGCTGCTTAGTAAGTAAACTGGTGCTTGTTACATGATTGTTTGTACTTGTCTGTACATTCGAACTACATACCTCATAATAAAATATTAAAAGCACAACAACTAAAGCCAGTGTTCCCAACTGAAGGAAGTTAATGGCAGAGCAGGCAGAGGTTAACGTGAACGCATGGTTAAGTGCTTGTGTGGTGACTGTGGAATTGTGAGGGCTATTAATGTTGGTCAATACAACTCCTTCACAGTGAAAACTCAGGTTTTCATCAAAACAAAATCACATTCAAATTTAAATCAAGGCTGGGTATAGTAGCTCACACCTGTAATCCCAGCCCTTTGGGAGGCCGAGGTGGGTGGATCACCTGAGGTCAGGAGTTCAAGACCAGCCTGGCCAACATGGAGAAAACCTGCCTCTACTGGAAAAAAAAAAAAAAAAAAATTAGCTGAGAGTGGTGGCACATGCCTGTAATCCCAGATACCTGAGAGGCTGAGACAGGAAAATCACTTGAACCTGGGAAGCAGAGGTTGCAATGAGCTGAGATTGCACCATTGCACTCCAGCCTGGGTGATGAGAGCGAAACTCCATCTCAAACAAAACAAAACAAATTGAAATCAGGGTTGTGTATGATCTACCACAAAATATTATGCAAAATAAATACCTATGTTGAAAGAGGTTGAAAATTCAAGAGCCTATAAAAAAAATTATGGCAGCAAATGCAACCAATTACTATTAAGGATGATATTAAAATGTTACAGTTTGACTGTTTTTGTCTCTTTCAAATTCAAGTTGAAACTTAACCCCCAATACAACAGTATTATGAGGTGTGGTCCTTAGGAACTGATTGATCATGTGGGCTCCAGAACACTCACGAATGGGATTAAGTTATAAAAAGACTTAGCAGAGGGGGCTCACCCCCTTTCATCCCTTCTGTCCCTTCCGCCATGTGAGGATACAGCGTTCCTCCTCTCCAGAGGATGATGCAATAAGACAACATCTTGGAAGCAGAGACACCTGGCCCTTACCAGCTGGTGCCTTGTTCTTGGACTTCCCAGACTCCAGAACTGTGAGAAATAAATTTCTATTGTTTCGAAATTTCTGTCTGTAGCATTTTGTTATAGCAGCTCATATGAACTAAGAAATGGTAAATCTGGAGAAAGAGAATATTGCAGAACCCGAGAAATAAAGATTATACATTTTTTGTTTCAGACTAGCAAAGTGGGTTGGCCACCTCTCATCCAGCTCTTTAGGGCCACTCTAGGAACTCATCAAAATACAAGGATGACTGGGATGATGTGTGAGTGGAGTTCGACACATCAAAACCCTACCACTGGCTTCCACCTGCCCTAACTCCTCCAGATCATTACATGACATCATTATAAAACCATTTGTCATCCCGGCAACATACCATGCTGCTTTATGCCTCTGTGCCCATCTAGAGTTTCAATTCATTCTAATAAGAGATGTTGTTTCTTTCCCTTCACTCCTTCCATTTTCCCCACAGCCTGATCATTCTATCTTCCAAACCCTTGTTCTGTCTTCTGCTTCTCTGTGAAGTCTCCCCTCACTTACAATCCTTTATGAAATGGGCCTATGCATGTTACTTTGTATACTCTTCCATTCTTCTATTCTAATAGAATCATTAATCTACTCTTCTAGACTGTAAATTCCTTGAGACAATATCATACTCTGAATTCCCAGGACCTATCTCAGCACTTGTATCCTAGCAGGTGCTGAGTAACTGGGGGGTGAATGAAATCTTTGAATGGGTATGTTATGATTATTGATAATGCATGCCATGCTTTCTGTCTAATCTTTCATCTTATAGATTACATCTGCTTTAAACTTTTATTATTATTCTTTGTAGGCATCATCTTCTTAGTCTTCTTTTGTCCTAGTTCAGAAAGGTAATTTCTTCCTTCATGTGGCCACTCGAAGAGAAAAGGAACTGGTAGACCTGAGGAAGGTTTAATAAGAATCAGACTCTGGTTTTTCTCCTGCTGCAGAAACTCAGTTTTACCATTGATTTTCCTGTTACCCCACAGGAGTTTGCTCAGCTGTCGACTGGGTGAATTATGATGATCATGTCTAGGGATGTTTTATCACCTACAAGGCAGTGGTGACCAAATGTGGCCAATCATCACAGTGGTCTGGGGAGGGCTTGAATTACTGGGTTCAGGGCCTTACCCTGAACCTACACAGTTAGGATTTCCACTGGGTGAGGCCCGAACAATGGGTATTCACTACTTGTGGGTGTAAGCATGTGTCCCTTACCCATGTATGTGGCAATCTTTTCTGGAGATTTCAGGGCAATAGAATGGTTTACACTGAAGCACAGCAAACACTTAAAATAGGAGGCATCTCTATCTTTAGTCTTGAGAGTCCTTTGGCTATCCCCAACATCAGGAATTCCTCATGACACCCATGAATCTGAGAGTATAAAGACAAGAGGGTGGTCACTTACCACTCCCTTATTTCTCCTTCTCCCAGAACCTCAAAATTTCTTCTATTTCATTAAGCAGAGCAATTATATTTATGTATTAAAAGTTCCCCAGGACATGCAGTTGATCAGCTAGATAGGTACTTGACATATTGAAAACACTGACTTTCAACTCTGGCTAAACCCAGAACTTCCTCAGGTACTTAAACACTAATGCTTAGGCTCCACACCCGACCAATTATAGCATGGCCTCCAGGAGGCAGGCTTGGGCATTTCTCTATAGCATCCTAAGATGGTTCTAATATGCCGTTTAAGTTGAGAATCACTGGCTTAGAATCTGAGAGAGCGAGCGAGAGAGAGAGAAATACATATGAAAAATACGTAAGAAAAATCACAAAGAAATTTGAAAATGAAAGTCAATTATAGATGTTGAAGAAACTAATACTGAATCAGTGACATGATTAAAGCCACGTGAAATCATTTTTAAAGTAAGCTTTATGATATTATACATCATATATAGAAGATATAATACAAAATAATAAATGTAATTGCCATAATATGCTGACTGAAAAGTACATGAAATGAGTTTGGAAGAGGATTAAAATAAGGACATAATTTAGTGGTAAAAAGAGCTTTTTCAAATTTGCCATTTTCATTTAGGGCATTGGTTCTCAGCCATGGCTGCACATTGGAGTCACCTGGGCAGTTTTAAATACTGATGCTTGACTCTATTTCCAGGGATTCTGGTTTAATTGGTCTGCAAAGCAGACACGGATTGAGAGCTTAAGAAGCTCTCAGGTGATTCTATTGTACAGCTAAGGCTCAAAACCACTGACTCAGGAGATGGCAAAACAAACATCCTCACCCACCCATCCATGTGCCCACCGCCCAAACAAAAAGAAAAAAAACTAAATAGGGTGTACATAAATTCTGCGCAATGCATCGTAGCACTATCTTTACTTATGTGTGTCTGCAAAATAATACAAATTACAAAACAGTACTATTTGGCTTAGGTTTCTCAAGCAAAGTCTTGTTTCTATGCTTATATTCTCACAACAAAAGAGAGTTGTATGGAGGTGGGTCGTGTAACATCCACTATACTTCAGGCAAATGCAGTCTTAACTGTCACAACCATTTCCTTGTGGGTTTCAATTAGAAGCAAATCTCAAATTAAGATCTCAAAACATTAGATGGATTTTCTAAAGCATTAAGATATGCACTATCTGTAGGGTTGCCAGAGAAAATATAGGAGGCTCAGTTAAATTTGCATGTTAGATAATCAAGAACTAAACTTTTAGTATAAGTGTGTCTCAAATATTGCATGGGATATAATTATATTAAAAATATTCTTTGTTTATCTCAACTTTAACTGGGTATCTTGTATTTTTCTTTGCTAAATCTGGCAACCTTAACTCCCTGTAGGTTA